CTGTCTTGCGACGGTCTACCTTCTCGCTGCACTGAAGGCCTTTTTATACCTATTGCAGCACTAACTTTATATTACTAGCTCGCACTAACAACACGCTCTAAAACTTAGTTAGAAGACAGTCCGCCTAAGGCTTATGTCTAATTGGGATCGAATACAAAATGTAAGGGGCTGCGCTCTAGGGAGCAATCGCGAGGTATACAAGAGGTTGTATTCGATAAGGAGCTATCTACTCTGCTTACGTGGTGTTTATTTACTTATCGGAGAAAGGTTATGCCGGAGTATCTGAGCGCGTTGTCTGAGCGCTGCTCGGTCTGAACGTAGTTCAGATGGTGCGCGCGCAGCTTGGCCCGAGATTCCATCGAGGAGCTATCCAAAGGGCGTTCAGCCCGTTACACACTTTTAGTAAAAACTTTATTTAAGCATTACTATATATAATAGCTACTATAATAGTAGTTAAGAATAATAAAAGTCTTATTTAACTAGTTAAATAATATTCTTTTAATCTTTAAGTATCTAATCTTTATAAGTAAGACACTACTTAAGTCTTCTTTATTTTATCTTTATTATTAACTTAGGCTTTCTTATTAGCTTTATTGTATTATAACTAGCTACTTAAAGGACTCTTTATATGTGTAATGGGCGGGCCCAACGGGCCGAGCGTACGACTACTTATGCCATCCTTAGCCAAAAAGGCAGTAACAAGACTTCAAGCTTCTTGAAGTCTAGGTAGTCGTATAGATATACTCGATCACACACACACTTTAGGCGTAGCCTCTTACAATATGGTAAATAATAAAATATTATAGCTATAAATTGTAACGGGCTAGGTAGCCCGCTACAGTACAGATAGCGGTGGCTATCTTATGTATCAACTACGCAACGATATCAGCAGCTCTGATATCTTGTGCCAGCCTTTGTGGCGCGGTGGGCGCGTTGTAGTTGCGTGCGCAGTCTAATAGGACTCGACCCGTTACATAAATACTAAGATTACTAGTAATATTAGTATAGCTTTTCTTTTTTCATACTTATTGCAGTATATATTCTTAAGAGTAGCGTTATATATTTTTTCTTATTTATAAAGGTAGCCTATATATAAGGTATCTTTAAAGTACTATAAAAGAATCTTAACTAAGCGTATATTAGGCTTTAAGCCTTATTAGGAGGCTCTACTATAAATTAAGTTTATTATACGTAGTAATATACTTACTATTTCTATAATTCTATATAGAAATTTACTACTAAAAGGTAACTTTAATATAATAATAAAAAAATAAGTTAATATATCTATATTTAAAGCTATAGTAGATTAAAAACACGTAGAAAAATAAGTATATAAGCTATTGCTAGCTTTAAAAAATTAGTATAGACGCTCAGAATAGTTAGTCTAATAGGCTAGCGGCTTAGCGTGGCGCTAGCAAGAACTTTTGATAGTCACCTCCGTAGTCTGCCACCATAATGCGCGACACGTGCACGTTGCCGGCTGACGTGAATAAATCCCGCACGCGCGCGCTACCTCGTATGCTTATCTCGTGTCTGACATGCGATCCGGTGAGGAAACATACCTATGTCGGGACTTGATTGAGGTATTGTGGTTGGAGTACTTAGCTAGATGGTTATACATGTCTGACTAAAATACAGTTCTTAAAACAATAACACAAGGATATGCCATGCGAGCTGATGAAATGGATAGGAGGTGAGAATGCTGCCCAGTGGTTTTCGAGTCATGATCAGTTGAGATTGCCTCTTGTACTCTTTGGGAAAATGCTGAGAGACTCGGAAAAGCTGTAAAGTACACATCTAGACCCCAGAGTCTTTGGTAAGGATCTCGGAAGTATGTAGTCGCCGAAACCGGTCAACTTGACCAAGAAAAATGGTAGTTGTCGTGACCGGCTGAGAGTGACTCTATCTACTTACGGGACATGGGGGTATTCGTTTCGACCCGTATCGAGCCGCCTCGCTGGCGGCTATCCCGTGGGCTTGCCGCGTAACCTGAACTGGGATATAGAGTGTGCCCACTCGACTACTTTCTCACGTCAACTGTTCCATAGCATTATGACTACACCATGAACTGATTTTGTGTTTCTACATTGTCGTCACGTTGTATATTATCCTTGGCTCTGCTCAAGATTGACGAGCCTCCGTCCATTCTAGACCCGATCTACCACCCTATATTTAGTCATGTTCCCCAATCCTTTTGCACCAAACTATTGTTTCACGGTACGATTGGAAGCTGTTCCGATCCGAGTCGCGAATGCATATACATACACATATGGCACATATCGCCACCACATTGTGGCATCATGGTATATAGTATGCGGTTTCAAGACTGCCAGGGCTTCACGAGGTGCAAAGTCCCTTGCCCCAACATGTTCACTCCCTCAGTCTCGAGCCGAGCTACTTACGCCAAGTAGCTCGCACGACATGTCGCAAAAAAAACATACTGTAGTGCCATCCATCCAGGTGCTCAAAAACAGAACGTATATCCGTCCTATGAAGACCCTCTCGATCCATGCAGCATGCACTCTCGTCACCACCACCACCTCCACCACAACTGGGCTCAAAGTAGAAAATAGATTAACATGCTGCGTGATTGATTTCCTCCAATCATCCATGTTCACCCCCAGAGTGCCAAACACCCCCCTCCTCTCGACTAGGCAGTAGGTGTGTACGTACGTAACTAGCACGCAGCACACCATCTCCCCAATCTACACACACCCCTGATCCCTCATGCATCTATCTGCATCCCGCGATCCTGCCAACTGCCGTAAACGGCTGCGTTTGCATCGATGGCACTAGTTCATGCACAAGATCCTGGTGTTCCTTTCCGTTCAACTGCCATGCAATGCAATGCGTATTGGCGCCTGCTCTGCGACAGGAAAACAAGAACCCTTGACAAAAAAAAAGAAGGAAAAGGACAGGGGGGAATGTACTTGTCATGGTCATGGTACGCCCGCAATTGGTTTTTGTTTTCTTTTTTTTCCATGCTTGGTTTTTTGTGTGTGGGATTGATTGGTAATGACGTAATGTCTGGATGGTGTTTGCAGTTCGTGTGTGTGCTGTATATGCAGCTCACCAAGTACACTTACGTGTGGGGCGGAAAAGGTTGTAGCGGGATGGGCAAGGAAGGTATGTAGTTAGTCATAAGTTTGTTCGACAAGGAGAGGTTGGTTGAACGTTTTGACGCTGCGGATTTCACGGCGCGTGGAATATCATGCAAGATCTGTGGCAGTGAGGTGGTATACCCTATGCCTTCTCCACACACACACATACATACATATAGGAAAAAACATGCACATGTATCTATAGACACCAAGTAAAATACTATGCCTATTTGCGCGGCGGAGTTGAAGCAGGTGGAGTCATATGACCAGCGGTTTTTGCCTCAAAATACGTGTGTACGTATATGAGTGATGTGCATGGTCGAATGTCACGTGAAGACAATACAATATACAAACGTCGTGAATAAGGAAAGAAAATCCCAGGGGCTATATATACAGAGATATGAAGAAAACACATAACCATAAATAGCCATGCCTCTCTTTGTCCACTAAGAAAAAAAAATGCACACCGCGCCCACTAGACACAAGTGTATTCTGCGTTACAGCAATGGAGCCAAGTAGGACGGATATAAATACTTTCATATCAATAACAGCATTTCTCCGACTATATTGTATCAGATTTCCGATCTAAGAAGCCCGATTCAGTAGAGTTCAAGCAGTACCGATGATTAGCCAAACCCGATCGTTCTACTGTACTTAGTCATAACCAAATCTATCGCGCGCTTATTGCCGAACTAGATACGTTCAGTAACGCGGTTAGTGCATGTGGGTGTGAGAAAGCGGAGAAACCAAGGCAAAAAAAGGGGGAGAGAGAGAGGAAGGAGTAAGGGGAAGGAGGAAAGTTCAAAGGGTGTAGATGCTGTGGTAGCGATGGGGGTGGTGAGGTAGAATCGATGGATAGAAAGTAGGAGGTACATAGCAACGCACGATATCAGGTGGAAAGTTGATTGTTATTTTCCATTCTAACTGCCATGGCTATCCTTCATCTACTAGGCCCCAAAGAGCAGGGATTCGCGTAATCCTATACCACAAGTCATGTGGCAATAGTCAAGTCAACATACGTCCTTAGTCCCCTGCCTGCTTACCCCACGCCTTGCTCCATAACTCCAAGGAACTTTTCAAGTATCCATCATACCACCGTAGCACGCTCCCTTTACTCTTAATAACATCGAGCACCGTTACTTTGCACGTACTTTATCTCACCACGACGTCATAAAGAAGGGGAGGGAGAAAAAAAAGGGACGATCAAGAAGAAGAAGAAGAAGAAGAAGAAGAAAAAAAAGGGACGATCAAGAAGAAGAAGAAGAAGAAGAGGAAGAAGAAGAAGAAGAAGAAGAAGAGGAAGAAGAAGAAGAAGAGGAAGAGGAAGAAGAAGAAGAGTAGATGCAAGAAAACTATGTTGTATTTTTCAAGTCAGGTAAACCCTCATGAAAGCGATACATAGCGATATCACTAGACACAAGGATATATGATAGGTGGAGGATATAAAGCTAAAAAGGGGGGGTTGGGTAGGTAGGTAGGGAAGAGACACACGTCTGATAACGCGCTAGAAAACACAGAAGAAAAAAATGAGCCAGAGAAAAAAGGGGATCAAACGCTGGGGGAAAACAACTGCAGGGGGGGGGATATCGTCATTCCAAGTCCCATCCATCCATCCATCCATTCATCCATCCCATATATCGTACAAGAGAATCCCCACCATGTTACACAGTTCGTTGTCAACACAAAACGGACCACCATATTGTTTTATTTTCACCATTCACTCACTCAACAGAGAGGTAGAGAGGTAGAGAAAACAAGTGCCTGGTCAGACACTTACAACCTCAAGCCCCTGCGCATCTTCCTCGCACCACCGGCAGCAGCACCGGCAGCAGCAGGAACATCAGCGGGGCCACCAGCGGGGTTCGTCACAGCACCGGGGAAGCCAACGAGCGAGTTGAACTTATCAGCCGTGCTCTTGTTCCTGGGTCCACCCTTGACAGCGGCCTGGGCACTCTTGCACGTAGCCACGCCCTGGGCACTGGCACCACACACGTTGGTGAGCTGGTTGCACAGCGCGTTGGTGATGATGTCTGGGTTGAGGGCTTCGCCTTGGCCGCCGCGAGCCAGCGGGTCGGCAATCTGGAAGGTGAATTCCGTGGGTGGACGCGAGCCTTCGCCACCTTGGAAGGTGATGGTGGGTGTGCATTTTCCGAACTCGCCGCCTGCTGCTGCGCCTGTTGCTGCGCCAGCGTTGGCGGCATTGTTGCCCGTGTTGGCGTTGTTTCCAGTGTTGGCAGCATTGTTACCGGTGTTGGCCGCATTATTTCCAGTGTTGGCGTTGTTGTTGTTCTGGTTGTTTGCATTATTGTTAGTAGCACCTTGGTTGGCGTTGTTGTTATTGTTGCCAGCGTTGGCATTGCCAGTAGCAGCCTGTTTGCCGTTATTATTATTGTTGTTGTTTCCAGTAGCAGCCTGGTTGTTACCAGCAGTTGCCTGGTTGTTACCGTTACCGTTGCCGTTGTTGTTTCCAGTTGCCTGGTTGTTGTTATTGTTGTTTCCCGTAGCCCGGTTATTCTTGTTGTTGTTGTTGGCAGAAGCCTGATTTCCATTATTTGCTGCTGCATTTCCGTTGTTGGCCGCTGCGTTTCCACCTGCAGCCGCACCACCAGCAGAAGCCTGACTAGCAACTAGGTCTCCAAGACCGGCCTGGCTCATAAGATCAAATACACTCAGGCCATCAGCTTTAAGCGGGGAAGCAGCGCTGCTCTTGCTAAGAGCAGCAGCAGCACCGTTGACATCAACGGCTGGGTCGATGAGTGGAGTGATACCACGGAGCTGAGCGGTAGCAGGAAGCGAGGGATCACCACAGACATTCTGAACGTTGTTGTTGGCAAAAGGGTTTGTGTTCTTCTCGGCCGTGACCATGCCAATGGCGGCAGTCAGGGCATCGGCACCGCCACCGAGTTCAGTAAAGATCTGATCGGCCCGGACAAGCTGGTTGTTTTTGTCAGCATGGAGATGACGGCATGGAAACAGAGTAGATGCATACCTTGGCACATGAGTTTGCTGCACCCAGCAAATCAGAGATGGCGGCGCCTGCAATGGTGGCAGCGGCACCACTAGCACCACCCTGGACTTTGCTAATAGCGGCAATGGGAACCTGCTCCTGGCCAAACCGGGCCTCGACATAGGCAATCGTCGCCGCAAGGATAAATGTCTTGGAAACCATGTTGCTGTTTGGGTCCGTAAAGGATGGTCGTAAAAACAGTAAACTTTAACGGTTGTAAGTGTGAGAAGAGTAAAACGAGAGACTAGCTCTTGGACGGTGTTTGTAAATAAAACAAATTGCAAATGCCGACCTGGGCGAAAGAATGTAAAAGAAACGGCGCTGAAAGCGAAAGGAAGTTGCTGAATGCTACTGTAGACTGGATGTCGAAGTTGCTGGCCTGTCACCAGAGGCACGATATATCGGGCTTATATACCACAGTGATTTTTGCATCCGTCTGTCCAAGGCTCAGTTTCGCAAGCGCCATGGCTAAAGTGATGCCATCAGGACCGCCTCCATGTCTCATCCATGGCACCGAAACCAATTCTTCCGCCCGCCATGTGCTGCCTAGAACAGAGCGGAGAGTGGAAACCGTGATGAAGGAATATTTCTGCCAAGACATCATGCGCTCTTTGGGATGCTGCGGCGTATGATTGCCGGGCTGCGACTTCGCTACGCCTTAGTATCCCCTTTCCAGGCTTCTTTGAGGGGCGGGTAGTTCGAGGCATCGAAGTTACCGGCGCCTGAAGTTGCGTTGTGACAGCTTCGGTCGCGGTGGGGTTTCATGTGACCTGTCGACACAGTGTCACGCCTATAGCCGGCGGTAAAGACGTCGATTGACAGTACCGATCCTGGGATTGGTTTGAACCATTGAAAAAATAACATGCCTGTCGCAATGCACAAGTAAACGGTTTCCAGGCGCGGAGGCAAACGCAATGCAAGAGAGATGATAGGTGAACGTGGAGATGAGAGACTGGTATTCGGGAATGCGTGCCCATGTCGGAGCGCCAGATGCGACCAAAACATTATGCCCCAAGAACACCAAGAAACATGGACAGAAGAAAAACGACAGGTCGAGTGCGTTCATGAGACCGTTTGCTAAGCGAGTCGTAGGGAAAGGCGCTGTCAGGCGGGCGCGCGACTTTGGGCTTAGTCTGTGCCGGTTTGAATCTGCACGTCTGATTGTCGACATTCGCAACCCTGGCAAACATACAAAGTCCGTCTCATTCGGCGGTGCCCCTGGCTCGACGATTCAGTATCGAGACCGTCATGACTATGTATTCACTATGTCCTATCCAGCTTCCTCCGCAACAGCCTTGTCCTCTTCATGAGCTTCTTGTACTTGTGCTTCTTCATTTTGAGCTTTCGTTGCCGCTTTACACTGATCATGTACATTCCATATCTTCGCTTTGCGACGTGTTCACGAAATGTTTTCGGCTTGCTCTCTTCGGACGGCAACGGGACCTCAGTTATGCGCTGGTTGATGATGGCTGAAAGGCCCTCAGCCGAGTGCGACTCGGTCTCGGGTGCTGTCGCGAGGGGGTCGTAGGGCTCGGGTGCCGGTGGTGGCTCGAAGGGAACCAGACGAGCCACCCAGTTCTCTACACTGTCTTGTGTGGGCTGAGCGTCGAGATGATACGCCTCTTGCTCTGATTGTATGGCGTCCGCTCGCTGCTCCTCTTGCGCATCGATCTCGGCATGCATGCGCTCGAGAAAGCCGCCAAGGATATTCTTGGTGAGCTGCATCTTCTCGACCTGACTCGCTCGATTTGCGTCGAACAAGGCGTCGAATTCAGCCGTGGAGGTGGCGTTCGGGAAGGCGCGCGAGATGGAAATGGGACGGTGGAGACCAAAGAAGGCTGATAGTTTGACATCTACGCCGAGTCAGTATGTGCGACCAAAGGCCAGGATCCGTAGACTCTCACCATCTTCCCGGAGGTGGTTTGTGGGGGGTACAAAAGGCACGTTGTTTCCCAAGGTTGCCGTCGATGGCTGCTTCAGCTTCTTCAGCCCCTTGGACTTCTTGCCCGCGCCCTGCAGTTCTGTCGTGGCATTCTGATCTATCTCGGCGGGCTTCTTCTTGTTATTCGCGGGGGTCGAGGGCTTTGATGACGAGTAGCGCCGCTGGTGACTCGGCCGGAAGGGCTGCTGCGGCGCGGCGCTTGTGCTCAGGGCCGAGCGGGCGCATGCATTCAGCGCAGCAAAGGGCGCGGCAGAAAAGACATTCGCAGAGCGGACAACTCTGCAAACGGCTGGCGAGAACATGGCCAGTCGGGTAGAGGGGGGGGTTGCGGGTATGACGGTGGTGTGGATGAGGCTCAAGGCGGCCGGCTATCAGGACTTGCTGCAGGCTGCTACGCTCCGATGTTTCCCCGATTGGCTGCCGCCCGCCATCACGGGAGCAGATCGGAACCTGGATACCGACTCGGAACAGGCGGTACGCCGGGACAGTGAATGAATATTGAACGTGCACGCATCCCCCTCATCCAGCGCGTGACCTTGGCCAAGATAGTTCATGCGAACCTCGTGTTGCCTCGGACGCGTGCACTCTGTGCCCCACTGGTCTTATCCCGTCGCCGTGGCGGCTTGAGTCAGCCATGTGCTTGATCATCTGGAGGGCCAGAGGGGGGGAACTCCACTTTGCACTAATTATGAACAGCAGGTGTATCGAATTCCAAATCGACGCATCCTCCAAGAGGGCTGCAGCCACGACTAGCCAAGGACATGCGCCCTTGATCATACACACCCACTACTCGATACAGCTCCGCGTGCTTCCTCCCGAGACCCGACCATGCAGTCTGCCCTCTGCATTACGTCATTCTACCCCATTTCGTAGCCATCGTATAGCCCTGGGGCAGAATGGTGCAAACGCTGTCAAGCCCCCCGTCATGTAGCATTCGGCCACACGATTCATACTTGGCGTATCCAACCACGGACGGCTCCCACTCCTGTCGCGTCCAACCCGCTCCAAGGCAGCGTGGGCTCGGTTCGTGCCGCCTCGGCGCTGGAAGCATGCCGACGCACCACGCCGTAATCATGCATGCGTCGGGGGGGAGGGGGGGGGAGGGTGGCCCAGTGGACGCAGGCTTAATCTAACATCTACAGAGCCGTTTTTTTTTGACGGATAAATTGGACATGCTGCGTAGGCAAGGGGCCGTTTGTTCCAGGTCGCATCTTGGTAGTGGGAGGGGGGAGCTGTTTTGGTAGCACGGCGTATTGCACACATGATAAGCGCAAAGTCCATGTTTCAACGGGCATCCATGTGTCGGTTGGTACTGTCTTATTGAGGCTGTCAAAACGCGGTGGTTACGGCAAATCGGACCAGTTCGCCTTCCGCTGCACACGCAGATAGTCTTGACAATTGTCGTTTTGGCCCCCAATCCGACCCCTGTGCCAATCTGTGTAGATCCGCGCTCCTGGAAACCTTTTCGCTACGTTCTAGCACAACAAGAAAGCTGCAGATAGCCACCCAAATAGACGCTGATGTATACAAAATGGTGAGGGGGGAAGAATTCAATCTGGGGCAAAAACAAATGACTGATGTGCGACTGTCTCTCTTCCCATTATCCGCCTGTGCACAAGACTCTATGTGCTTCTACCCGAGATCTGCATGCTATACCAATATACAGATGCCGATCCAACATGCTCGCTAACTGATGAGGACCAAGAGATGGGGTCGTGGAATCGTCACAGAATGGCGAAAATCGAACAAAGGTTGAAAGAAAAAGGTGATAATCGAGGGTATAAAGTGAAAAAAAAGGGCCGTGGAAGTCATCTCCCCTCCACTAAAAAAAAGTATGTCGGTACTCCGGACGTGCTCTTGGTGACCGCCCCACGCAGGGCGAGTCGATTAACTGCCGACTTGCGTGCACTTTCGGTGCTTACTCCGGTGAGGGTGCAGTCTGCTGGGTGTTTTGTGAATGGCCGCTGCGGCTACTTTGATCGCACTACCACATGGTGACCAGTGCCAGGGTTACAGTATGAGGGCGTTAAGGTTGCGTTGGACAATCATGTCCTGAACGGATGCCATGGTGATCTTGAGCAGGTTGGTGTCGGTCGCGTTTGTGTAGTGAACGTAGACTTCCTTCTTGGGCTGACGGACAAGGTTGCGGAACTTGTTGGCGAAAAACTCCTTGCCGGCATCAAAATCGGTAGCGCCGCCCGTGTAGTCGGGGAACGTCTTGTTGATTGGGCTCATGCCACCGGCAATCTTCTCGGCAAACAGGTCAATCTTGTTAAGGAAGAGGATAAGCGCAGTCTTCTCAAAGTATCTCGAGTTGGATATGGATTCGAAGAGCATGAGGGCCTCGTGCATTTGGTTCTAGACTGCGTTAGTAGGGCGGCGCATGGTCAGACAGGCGACAGCACTCACCCCGTTCCGGTCTTCTACCAGCACATGGTCGTAACCACTAATGGCAACGAGGAACAGCACAACCTGGACATTGTCGAAGACGTGGATCCACTTTTTGCGCTCTGACCGTTGTCCGCCGACGTCGACCATCTTGTATGTGAGGTTGCCGAGTTCGAAGATGGTCTCCGAGATGCCCGTGGTGCGTAGGCGCGTGCGCAGGATGTCTTGGTCGGTGGGGAGGAAGTCCTTGTGGAACAGGCGGTCGATGTCCTGGAAGAAGCTGCGGCTTGGTGAGCATTTTGGGAGCACGTCGAGGGACGCGTGCATGACGTACTAGTTCAAGTTGTCGTGCAGCGCATACTGGTTGCCCTTGAGGATTGTGAGCTGGACGCCCTTGTCGGCCCACAGGCAATTGAAGGCCGTGAGAAACTCGTCGGGCATGGGCTCTTCGGTGCCGATGTCGGGGGCAGTGTTGACCATTTCCGAGTAGCGCTGGGTACTTTGTTAGCGGTTGGGCAAAGGGGCTGGGGTGGGTGGGTGAGTGAGTGGGGAGGTGGAGAGGCGCACAATGTTGTCTTCGTCCTCAAAGTCGGTGTCGTCTTCTTGCATGGCCTGGAAGATGGTCTGGAAGGCGGAGACGAGGTTGTTGAAAATGGTGGCTCGCCATGTCTTGCGCTCAAGGCTCTGGAACCCGCCGGCATTGATGATGCGCATCTGCTTGAGAACCGTCGACTTGCCACTCTCGCCGGCACCTGGGGCATGTGTGTTAGTCAGGGTGGACTCGTCATTTATTCAAGTGGGCATTAGGCGGGTGCATACCCAGCAGCAGCAGCTTCACCTCGCGCTCGGCGCGCTTCTTGTCGTTGCGGAGGGTTTTTTCGATTTCGGCATTTTTCCGAGCGTTGGGGTCAGCCGTCGAAGGTTTGCGTCCAAAGCACATGATTGCCGGTGCCATGTAACGGGGGAATGAGGAAGCGACAGAGGGTCGAGGCGAGGGAGGGGGTAAGTTGCAACCAGGCAAAAGCAACGGGCGCGCAAGCGACTACTGTACACCTAGACACAGGAGGCTATGCAGCCGCAGCAGCAGCAGGCATGCGGCGGCGGCGGCGGCGGCGACTGTGTGGGTGTGGGTGTGGGTGCGACTGCAGGATACTGGGAAGAAAGAAAAAGAGGCTACGGCTACAGCTACAGGGCGTCAGTGGAGGCGTTTGGGGGTTGTGGCTCGCATGATGGAGTGGGTGGAAGAGGCGGCGCTACCGTTTGGAAGAGGAGTTGCAGGGCGGGAGGCCAAAGGCGGAGTAGTGAGGGACGGCTAGTGGTCGAGGGCGCGGTGCGGAACGAGGGACGAGGAAGAAGCAAGTGCAGGCGTAGGCGTCGGTGGCGCAGGGCGGATCAGACGCGGTGGCAGCAAAAGAGAGGACATGCAATTTGCCATGGAGCGCGGCGCTAGTGTACACCTAGTGTAGGGTAGGGACAGGAGCTGGGAGCTGGGAGCAACAATATGGGCCTGGCCTGTCTAAGAAGAAATAACGAGGGCGCTGGTGCTGCCGGCGCATCCCTGGCGCTTTTTGCTTGGCCGTTGGCGGCGGTGGTGGAGGTGAAGAGGAGGGCTGAGGGCCCCTGTCGGTCGCTGTGAGTGTGTGTGCAGCCGCTCTTCCTTTGCCCGCACTTGCTGGCTCGCTCGTTCGCTCGTTCGCTCGGCATGGTGGCCGTTGTGCTGCGACGCGGCGGCCCAGGGAAGGCAAGGGAACGGCAAGGGCAGGGCAGGGCAGGGCAGGTCAAGCGTAGCAGCCGCCCACGGCCAAGCGGCCCCGGGACTCGGTGCTGCTTCCGGCTGCGATCGGCGCCTGCGCGATGGCAGATGGTAGGCATGAGATGCGACGATGCGACGACGCGACGACGCGGCGCCGCGATCGGGTGCTGGCTGGCGACTAGCACATGTGCACAGCATGCAATCCCCCTACGAGCAGCAGCAGCAGCAGGAATAGTAGTGATAGGAACAGCAGCACCGCGTTGCTTCAAAACGTGGCTGCACTCGCAGAGTAAAAATAATAAAAAAAAAAGGGCAAAAAATAAAAAAGGTTCAATGGCTCTGCGACGGAACTCCGGACTAGCGGGCGCGAGCCAATCAGGGGGCGCGCAGGCAGCAGCAACTGCGGTCGGGGGAGGAGGCTGCGCCCGCCTCGACGTTTCACTGCTAGCAGGTAGCGATGTTCGTCTGCAAGCACAAGCGACCTCACCATGTGGCCCAACGTGTGTGCGTGGAGCCACCTCTTGCTCCCGCTCGTGCCCTGCTCTGGCTCTTCTCTACATGTTTGCTTTGCGGTGCGGTGCGGTGCGATGCGGTGCGGTGCCGTGTCCCGGCCATCAATTACCCTGGCGACGCAGCCCTGGGCCCCAGCAACGACATGACATGACATGTCGAGTCGAGCTAATACTACTACTCCTACATGCTATTACTACTACTACACACACACACACACACACACACACACACATACACAGCCCTGCGGAGGGTGGGGGCTGCCACCACTACCACCAGATGACCGCACATTACATACTACTACTACACACAGCCATACATACAACACCACACATACATACAGCGGCCCTATCCGCAACCATCTCTCCGAAAGTGGACCCACGGCGGTAGTCCAATGCTTGTCCAAATGCTCCGCCCTTCGCACTGCCATGTGCCCTCTGCCTCGTCTGCCCTCGTCCGCCCTCGTCCGCCCTCGCTGCCACCTCCCGCCTCCTTCTCCTGAGCCCGTCCAGAGCCTTCTGCGGTAGTCCTCTCCACTCTTGCACCCGTCTCCTCCGACAAGCCAGTGCCGCTAGTCATACAGACCTCTCGACCCCCGTGCCAGGGTGTGTTGAAGGATCCCTATCATAGCCACCAGCCCCCGCCCCCTAAATGTCCCGCTGCCACTCCCACTGCCACTCCCACTGCCACTGCCGCCTACTTACCGCTCTCTCCCTCTCTGCCTCGCACACGACAGGCTCGCTCCTTGCCAGTCAGCCGCCACACTGCACGCCTGTCTGCAAGCCTCGCCCTACTCAACGGGGCGCACCGCTCCACGCCGCACCATGCCTATGTATGTATGACTAAGACATGACTACCTCGGCCTGTGCCATAGCCGTGCCTGGTATACATACTACACCCACCCACACGCATGTCACACCCCATATCACAGCGAGTGGGACATTCCCGCCGAGATTACAGCGACACAATAATACTGCCGAATGGGAACGCAACCCATTGCCCTGGCTTGACAGGCCACCATGCCACTGCCTTCCTCGCTGCTTTTTCCCCCTACCCATCAGCTCGGCTACCCGTGGCTCAAGCCCTGTCTTGCCACTTATTGCAATCACCCTGTCGCTTGCCAAATGCAGCATTCCCAACGTCCATCTCCCTCCAACTTCATCCCATTTTCTCTTTTTTCGGGCGTTGCACCGTCACGTGGACGGCTCGGAGCAACTAAGACATTCCGAGACTCTGGCGCCAGCCCATTTGCTTCTAGTCGTGCCCGCTAACCCGTTTGCCCAAGTCAATACATTCCTCGCCCTCACCCATCCTCACCTTGCTGCCTCTCTCGCCGTCACATCTTCCCTCGTCCCACCCTCTTGGCTTGTCTGGTGTCTATTGTCTCGTGTCTCATCAACACTCTGTCCGCAATATCGCCGTCCACTAGCTGTACTCATATTAGCTTCTCTTGGTACAATCCCACCTCATGAGACAAATTGCTGTCCGACTCATGTGTGAATGATTCGTTGGCTACTACTTACTCTTACCATGTCCTCATCATGTGACTTCCCCTGCCTCCTCTATCCATCTTCTTCTCTGTACTCACTCTCACTATCAGTGAGGGACTATACTCTGCTATACTCATGTGCATCTTTCATCACCCTCACCTCGCTTTCATTATCCGTGACGAACTATGCTCTGCTATACTCACGTGCATCCTTCATCACCCTCGCCTCACTTCACTGAGCCCAAGGGAGCGACTGCCTGCCTTCTTGACCAATGACGTTAAATGCAACTGCCTTTTCCATTCACCATCACTAACACGGCGCAAACAACAAGTCTTGGCGAAACTCTCTCTCTCTGCACAACAATCCACTCACGCATCAGGTCAACTGCATCTCATCCACCCGCGCCGAGAAGACAAATACACTTACTGTGTGGGCAATACGCCTGACACTCTCACGCGCAGTACCCAAGGTATACCTCACTCATTTGGCCCTGCTAAGCGCCACGTGCCTAGCTCCACACTGCAAAATGTCGTCTGCAACTCCCTATCAAGGCCCAGTGCTTCTAGGCCTCTCCAAATACGCCAGTCCACAGCCAAACAAGCTATCACCAGTCGCATCTTTGACCCCTCCTCCGTGCCATGCACAGCTTGCCAGTGCCCAGGGAGACGCACTGAGGACTGAAGTGAACAAACGCACTGCACGGTTTGCCACAGTCGTTTCCACCACCGCCACCAACACTCGGCGACTGCTCCACCTCATCCGTGAGGCATCGCCAGAGGCAACCAACGCTACTATTGATGCGCTTTGGAAAGAGTTGGAAGACTTGTACGCCGCCCTCAATGATGCAAAGGCTGCACTTCCCACGTTTCTTGAGAGGCAGCGCAACAGCTTGAGCCTGTACCACACTTCCATGATGAACCAGATGATTCAGGATACACAAAATGAGCTGGAAATTCAGCACAAGAAAGTCAGTCTCTCTTTGCAAGTTGCATATGACTGGCGCACCAACTGACGCGAACTGACATAGGTCAATATCCAACACAATCTGATTCTCGAGCATCAAGAAGCGTTTCAAGCGTACAGGGAGCAGACGGCAGCCAAGCTCGGCGATATCGACAATCTCCAGGACCGTGTCTCGCGACTCCAACTTGAGAAGGGCAACCTCCGTAGCGAAGTTGACAAGTTCACACAGCTACTGGAGGAAGAACGCTCTACCAAAGCTGAACTTGTCTGCGAGTCCGATGACTCGAAGAAACAGCTTCTGGCCGAAATTGATATCCTGCGAAAGAAGCTTCAGGGAGATGGTGATAAGGTGAATGAAGTCGAGCAGGCCAGCCAAGGCACCGCTGAGCAGCTGAAACTGACCACCGACCAACTGGCTCAGCAAATGGAGAAAATCACGAAAATTCAGGAAACCATGACTGTACTTGAAGAACGCGAAAGTACTGCCAGACTCGATGCCGAGAAACGCAGCAAGGAGAACAAGGCTCTGAACGACAAGTATAGCCTCTTGGCAGAGGAGCATGCAAGAGCATTCACGGTGCGCAGCTTGTGCATGGTACTGTTCAAGGATGAAGCTAATCAATCTGTAGAAGCTCAATGAGCAGACCAAGGAGATGGATAGCCTCAAGAGTGACATTGCACGCTTCCAGAAGGAAAACACTGAGCTGGAGGAGCGCTCGGCCAAACTTGCCCATCTCGAAGGCCAGGTTACCAGTCTCGAGCAAGTAAACTCGCAGCTATCGGCGCATGTCAAGACCCTTACGAAACAGTTGAAAATGGCTCAAGATGAAGGAACCAAGGCCAAGGCTCAATGCGAAGACCTACTGAACAAGGTAGGAAAGATGAACACGGGAGTTGAGCAAAATGGCTCGGATGCCGAGAAGATTGCCGGCCTCGAGATTGCCCTGCAAGAGTGGACTGAGCTTGCTAAGCGCTCATACGAAGAATATAAGCAGATGCTCCCGACGTACAAGCAAGCCGATCAGTACCGCAAAGACGCTCTCGACAAGGCCGAGACTATCGAGCAACTCACGACTGAGCTGACCAAAGCCAAGGCCACGCAGTCCAACGGCGATGTGAGCTACTGGAAGAACAAGTACGAGAGCCTTTTGGCTTCCATTTCGGGATGAGTTTGCGAGGCACGCCAAGTTGTCGGATCCGCATGCAAGATGGGACTAGTAGCTAGTTGCAAGCTGTGGGTGAGAGAGAAGGGTCTCGGTGAAACAGTAGTCATGGAAAGGTAGAAAAAAAAACTCACTCATTCTCCATGTGAAACGTGTGTTTTGGCTGAATCGAGTATGGCAGCGGCGTATAATGTAGCATGCATGACATTTCGGGGCCGCATCTTACGTTGTGCGGAGGCCTTGGGAGCCGTTTGACAGCTTGGGCCGTATCATTTAAACTTTGCAAGGGCACCCAAAGAAGAAAAAGGCCTTCTAGAACGAAGCTGGTGGCCCTTCGGATGATCAAAGCATCAACCAGTCAGCCCGACCAAGCCACTATTACCATGTACTTGTACTTATCTGACTACAGGCCGATGCCGAGGGAGATCATGGCCTATCCAGGTAGGTGGAACCAAGTAGAGTCCAGACGCGGTAAATTTGCCATGTCTTATCCTTATCCTTATCCTTGTTCCTGAGTTGCAAGAGAGAAAAAAAAACAAGCATATACATTATACCGAACCAAGTACACAAGGGTGTCCCCCACTCCAGAGAGCCCAATTAAAATTAAAGGCGCGTAACCCCGTGGGGAAGAAATTCGGATTGCGTCTTCGACTTGGTGCTACTAGTAGTTAGTAGTGTGTATGCTGATATCTCGGGTACGATGGTGGAGACGGATATGGGGGACATGGGGGAAATATACATGGTTTGTTTCATTCATCATTTGGGAATCATGGTTCAAGGTGGCATGGACAGCGTCGGAGTAGTGTGGTTGTGGCTCTGGAGGTTACATACTGACACATACATGGATATATATATATGTGTGTGTGTGTGTGTGAGAGAGAGAGAGAGGACATTGGACGCCTGAAGTTGGTGTCGCGAAAGGGGTCAAGACATAGCAAAGCAGAGCGAAAAAAAAACGGCGAGACTAGGATACAACAAGAAGAAGACAGAAAGAGGCAAATGTTGGATATCCCAATATGAACAAGGCAAAGTGCTGATGCTATCCATGGATGTGGATGTATGGATGTATGTATGTCAGATTTGCACGTGAAGGATAGTGGCAAATCGCTGACCCACCTACACAACGACAAGGGTATGAGGGTGGGGGTTTGAACATGGGGGATTCAACACATGCACGTACAATGCGAGTCTTGAATGTTTAAAAGCCAACCAACCCTGCATTGTCGAGGCCGCGAAGTCGTGGCAAAAAAAAGGGCTGATAGTCGTGGTTGGATATGGGAAATGTTGAGGTGGCCAATGCACGGAATGATGCTTCCGTTAGCTCATCATCTTACACTTGACGCATCTACCGGGCATTTGGCGTGCGGGCTACATAGGCGAACAGAAGAATGCGAGACTCGTCCGAGAAGGTCTGCACTGGCTTATGTGGAGCAAGCAGTTCAGGGGCATGCAGGGAGGTGAGGCTGAGAATAAGCTTGACCACGGCGTAACACTGACACTATGAGAAGTGGAGCCCTCTTCAACCCCGGTGTCGATGTAAGCTATCTCAATGGCCTAGATTTGACATGGTCATGCCGCTTGTGCATCCATGTCGTCGGCGTCGGACAGAGGCTCTATTGTCCCTACACGTGGAAATGCAGCTATCCGAGTGAGCATCAGCTATCCGAGTGAGCATCAGCTATCCGAGTGAGCATCAGCTATCCGAGTAAGCATCAGCGATCGCTTCGGAACCAGTGCCAGCACACGCACACGCAGCTGCAACGCTTTCGTATGGCAGTATGCCATTGTTTCCATCCATGGCTCCGGTGAAGGCAAGGTGTTGTCCTATGATGGCGCCCAGACGGAGAAAAAGCAAACAGTACCGTTGACCGAGCTCGTAGTAGATGCACATGGATCCTTCCGAGTTCAGTATCTCCGGGGAAAGGGCCCAGGCAGCAGGCATAGACAGGAGTGGGAGGGCTGAGACAAAAGCAATCATTAGTGTCCGCTGCCAAGCACATTTTGAAGCGTGGTGCTCCCGTCCCCAGCAAGGAGGAAGGATACTTCCCGCCCCGAGAATACCCCTTGGTAATACCGGGCGTATTCCACGTGCACAGCAGGTAGACTTGATGTGTGCGTCTTGATTTGCATTTGGTGAGCGCCCCACCCGCTAGCCGCATTCGCCTAGCGCGTTTTGCGTAATCCGCCTCAATACCGCTGGCCGCTGGTGCTGGCCGTGTGTGTCGGATGAACGCATCGCCCACCACCACCACCACCACCACCACCGCCGCCGCCGCCCTCGCCGCCGCCGCCCCTGGCCACTCACTCGACTCAAGCTTTGGCGATGCACGCTGGGCCGCCGTTTCGCCACACCTTGGTTGCGTGCCCGGCCAGCCCGCCAGCCCGCCAGCATCAAGTACACCAATGCAGCATGTGTATGCACTTTCCGAGTATTACCCTAGGCCGTGTCAGTGCCGCCACCCACGCCTCGCTGGCCCTTCCTCGTCCTTCAAACGTGTTTGGTGGGCCGGGCCAATGCAGCCGTACCTGATCCCCAATCTTGCACAAGACGCCTTGCCTCGTTGCAGCCTAGACACTTGCAGCCGCTTCACTTGATGCGCGGGCACTATCCATCCGGCGGTGGCGCTAGGACCACGCCATCTCCCCTCGTACGAAGCCACTGGCTTGGCCGGGCCACGCGACAATTCCGCCTGTCGTCGTGTGCGTGCGCCACACGTCCTCTCACGCCGCCCACGACACACAGCCCTACCTGCCACCCATGACGACCGCCTTGGCCTGCCCTCGACGTGCACCCTCGCACTGCACAACAACTCCCAGCTCTGCCAAACCTCTCCCCCTCCCCGCCCGCGACACGGCACGCATGCCCATCGCCAGTCCCCAATGATCGCCCGACACATGACCACCATGCGCTAGCTGCTCTGCCTGACTCTGCTCCATTCTGCTTGAAACGGCAAGGTCATATCTCCAGCATCGCAAACAACTCACCCCAAGCCGCAGACACCTCACGTCTCCTTGACCGGCTCCAGCCGGCCTGTCCCTCTCCACACGGCCTTTCCTGCCTGGCTTCCATGCCTTCTAGCCCAGGGTCCTCTCCGCAAGCCACGCTACCACCAAAGGCAAAGTCTGGCACTGGCACTGGCACTGGCACTGGCTCCTAAACACATTTGCTTCTCTTATCTTCCCTTCCCTTCCCCCGCAAGGCCTCCGCAGAGTTTGCACATGCAGTGCAGATCGGTGCCGCCTTGCAGATCGACCGCGCCATGCTCAATCTCATACAGCAGACGGCCAATGGATACGCCGTGCTAGCTAGCCTGCAAAATCGCGTGTCGTCGATGCATGCATGGCCTTCCACACAGACAACAAAGCCTGTTAGCTTCGCCGCGCACGACCATGGTCAGCCATGGCGGATTATTAACAGAAACATTTAGCACAGCGCGCGCGGCCATGGGGACCTGCTGAAAAAAGAACTTTGAGACGTGCGCGCGCTCGAGAAAAAGATCTCCCTCGGCCCAATCCTCGGTCCCATTCCCCCGCCATCCGATTCGCACCGTTGCTGCACGCCCCGATGACGACGTAGGGTGCTAATTGCACATGTGCGTCTTCACTTCATGGCGAAATTCCCACCTTATATCTTCTCGTGTGCCTTTTTTCGCCGATTGCGACGCGGAACACCACGGCCACTTGGGGCTGCGACTCGCCAGCTGCGTGTGGATACCTCGTAGATGAATCAGGCCAACATGACGACTCCACGACGGAAGGCATGTGTCGAATGCCGCCAGCAAAAGGTACCGACGCCCTCTGTGCCGCCCACAGCACGCGACACGCCCCCTTTGTTTGCCAGACACCCGGCTCACTGACCCTGCAGATTCGCTGCGATGTTGAGCAGCACAAGGTCCCGCATGACCCATGCGGCCGCTGCAAGAAAATGGGCTTGGAATGTCGCATCCTCCCGACTTCCACCAGGAACCTGCGCCAGACAAAAGCAGAGATGCGGCGAGAGCTCGAGGAGCTGCGCTGGAACATGCGGCAAGGCCAGCCGCCCACCGATCAAAACTACCCGCATTCAACCGCCTCGCCAAGCGTCGACATGCAGAACTACACCCCCATGGAACATGCTTCTGCCACCTATTCCGACCCTTCTGGAGGCCGCACCGACGCGTCCGACTCCATGTCGCCAGCCTTCGACTCGAGGCCCCCGACCAGAAAAGGCTCCGACAACCAGTGCACCATACCTCGCGTCATTGACGGCTTCTTGCTCGATGCAAAGCGAATCGACGACTGCTTCACCCTGTAAGCTCGACACCAGCCTCATCCCCCCATCCCCCCCTCCCCCCCCCCCTATCCTCGCACGCTGACGTCTTACATAGCTACTTCACCCAATACCATCCCTTGTTTCCCGTTCTGGACCCCAGCGTACCACCCAATGACTACTACGAACAGTCGCCATTCCTCTTCTGGGTTATTGTAGTCACGGGGTCCCGCCGGTACGCTGAGCATCCCGAGATACTCGAGAGGACAAGCCAACCAATCACTCAGCTGGCCTTTTCCTCAATGGCATTGCGCACCTCGCAGGTTCCCGTAATCCAGGGCTTGCTCATTCTCTGCACATGGCGATTGCCCACAAACTCAATGTACAAGGATACAACACACCTCATGTGTGGCTCAGCCGTACATCTTGCGACCCAGATAGGCCTGCACATTGCGGGCGTAGGCCAGGATTTCGCCAGGACGCCGCTCGAGAAGGACCAATCACTCAAAGTGCAGCGCGCTAGACTTTGGCTGTGCTGCGTCATTGTTTCGATAAGGTGGGTTTCGAAAATAACCGCCCTGCACATTCTTTTAGCTGACGACATGTAGAACGAGCACCGTGGAAGGCATTCCGCCTCTTGCCGAGTCTTTCTTTGATGGAGACGAACAAGATCGGGAGGATATGGTCCCTTACCTTCCAGCTGATTTGCAGTTTCTCCACAAGATCTACATCATCCTCATGCGTGCCATGGTCGCCATGGGCAAGACCAACCTACAATCCATCAACTGCGACGTCCGCGTATTGCGGTCCTTGATTGGCATATTCGACTCGCAGCTTCTCAGCTTGGCTCCGTCATCTCCAAGCGACCTTGGTAAGCCATTTCCCACGCATTTGTACAACATTTACTGACCAAATAGATACTCTGCAACTAAGCTGTGCCCGTATACACGTCATGGCATTCCACTTCTTCGCGCACCCAACGAACCCCGGGCCAGATGCGGAGGGCCTGTCCCGGTTTTATGCATTGTGCATTTCAGTCATTCAGTCAGCAGCGACAATGCAAACGACACAGAAAATACCCCTATCGTCCGTGTCGCAGTCTTTCATCGACCGAACCATTACCCTGGCCGGTTTCACAATCCTCAGGCTCGTCCAAAGTCCACTCGCACAACACCTGGATGTCATGGCAGGCGAACGAGCCTTTTCTCAAGCATACGAATTCTTGAAGAATGTGTCTTTGCAACCAGGAGACATCCATTTCCGGACAGCGCACATCATGAAGGACCTCTGGGGGAGTGACAAGGTGTTCCGTAAGAAGGACGGTCGCGTCGAATCGCTATATCTGAGGCTACGTACTCGATTGAGCATGAGCGTTAGTTACGACATGTTCTGGTACTGGCGAGAAGAGTTTAGCAACATGCAGAACCCGTACAACGGCGAAGAAGTATCGCTTCTTGCTAACGATGCTACTCAGCAGAACGGATCTCGTAAGCAATGTACATTTCTTCTTCCTGACTTAGGACTAACGAATATCTCAAGAATACATACCACAACAACAGCAGCAGCAACAGCCACAGCAACAACATCCACAGCCACAGCAACAACAGCAACATCACCATCATCACCAACAACAACAACAACAACAGCAACAGCTGACAGACCCTTCCTTGAGGACACAGCTTTCGATGAACAAGTTTGATCCGAGCTTGGTCAATCCCCAGCTGCAACCAGATCCTTCAGTGATGGGTGGTGGTTTCGACACTTGGGATGGACAAGACTACGGAATCCCCCCTATATTGGACCAATTCCCGGATTATGATTGGGCTGCCGGGTTTGCGTTCTCGAACGCTGACGTGCCTAGCGTTCCGGTTGGCTCAATGAACCCAATGATGCCTGGACACGGGAACGCACCAAACATGGGTTACACGTACGGTTAAACCTTACTGTCCCGGAAATAGTCTCGCGGCTAGATGCGAGGGCGGGAAGAGTTCCGAAGCTATGCAAGATCCGCGTCAACATAACCTGGTATTGCATCGGAACCGGAAGCGTGTCGATATCATTCGTTCGATGGACCACAGGCATCATACCAGGACATTTCCCGCATGAAAAAAAGCCCCTTATTGCTCACCTGAACCACTGGTGTGTTTCTTGGGTCTGTCCCAAAGAAAGCGCAGGTGGTGGAGGTTATGACGATGGAATTGGTGATCGAAGATGCGGCGAGATGATACCTAGTCGCACGGCTGACCTGCACTTTGTCGAATCTCCAAAGGTGTGAGACGGGTGCAAAGAACGTCTCTCAGTTTGGGGCGTTGCCTTGTGTTGGTACATTTCAACACACCTAAAGGATTATTCTCTAGTTGGTGAGAAGCATTCAGCCTAGGACCTATGCCGGGTTAAGGTCGCTTCTCCTGCGTCAGTAAAGAGCCGGCAACGACCTTGAAGGCACAGTAAACCTGCATTCAGCTTTGGGCGGTTGAAACCAAGCATCCAAACTATAACGAAACGCCAACGTCGACCCTCGCACCAATAATTCTAAAGAGTCAACAACAGAGGAGAAATCGAGCATGAGGCATAAGCCAGGCACTCAACTACGGTCCGGGCCAACCGCTCACTTTAAATCCCCATGCTTTCCCCTGCCCTTGAGGAGTGCCATGCGCACATGTACACGTATGTCGGCGTCGGTCAGCATACCAATCGGGGCATCACATCCCCTCGTTCTCATACGACATTGCCTTGCGTATTCAACAAGCCGCTTTTAACATCGGCGAAGCCGAGCTTTTTTTTTCTGCGCCTTCTTGTTACCCAGCCAGTGAGAAGTCATGCGTATGGCGCATGTATCGGACAGACCTTGGCCAACATCGGCAAGCGACACTACGTCAGCGAAGGCGGCATGAATTGCGGGGTGTCCTCACCACATGGGCTTTTCAACCTGGACTCTTCGCAGCCGCTTACGTGGAGCCTGATACTTGGCCTATCTTCCGGGTGCACATGTGGTTCTGGTTACATGAGGATGTTTCCCCGATTGTGCAGTGAGTTGTAGAGGCTTTTGAATGGAATTTTTTTTAATCCCTCCTAACGTCTTTCCGTTTTGCGCCAATGTCCGATTCTAATATCATGGATATTTGGCCGATAGAACTTAGAAATGCGATCGATGCAAGTCATGCGCGCGCCCACGAACTAGGATAACAGCCGCCTTAACCTTCACTATGATTTTGTACCAATGGCTGTGCTGAATCGGAGATACTTCGATGCGCAATCGATACAAATCAAACTAGACTGCGGGACACCAGCGAGGAGTTGTCTCCGGTTGGTGTAGAACCAACGTACGAATCAGAAAAGGGCTCTTACTTGATCGGGTCTCTATCCGTTCGGGCATACACACACCGAATCCGGTGGTTTGGTATAGCCTTCGCCTCTTTTTTCGGAATATTAATACTCATCAGTGGGGGCTGATGTTTTTTTCTGGAGATCCTATGGAGTGTGACAGAAAATACATATGCCTTTCAAACGTCTCTGGTTGCCATAAGAAAAACGAATCACGCAAGACGCCGAAACTCAGCGAGATCCTATCGGTGCTTGGCTAAAAGTGAGGCAATGATACATGACTTGATCTTATCATATCTCTAGGGCTACCGACTTACCTATTAGTCGGGTAGACATTTATAGTCACCACTAGATCGACCTTGCCTTTTTTCGTTGTACAACGTCTCCTCAATCTCCGAGCGTTTCTTACTTTAGTCCAACGGATATAGGCACATCCTACGTACAAAGAAAGGGCCAGGATAGCATACCAAGTAGGACAATGACGGAAACTAAGAGCGGCTCTCAAGCAAGGCCGTCCATCCAGAAGAAAGACGCAGGCAAGATGACAGCCGTTGAGAAATTGCGGGCTATGCTCGCGGATCCAGAAAAGTTCATTGCGTGCCCGGGTGTATACGATGGCTTCACAGCACGCATAGCGCTGCAAGAAGGCGTAGACTGTCTATACATGGTACGTCATGTCAAGTTGGAGGCACGGTACCCTAGTGGTCTACTCGTGTTATTCGTACATGTTCGCCATGTCGCCATGTCGCCATGATGGACAACGGCTAACGACAGCATTGCAACAGACAGGCGCAGGAACGACAATGTCACGGCTAGGCGCCGCCGACATGGGCATTGCCACGCTCAACGACATGGCCTCGAATGCAGCTATGCTAGCCTCGCTGTCGCCCCGCACGCCCCTCATCGCCGATGCAGACACGGGGTATGGCGGGCCCGTCATGGTCGGCCGCACAGTATCCTCGTACATCCGCGCCGGCGTCGCCGGGTTGCACCTGGAAGACCAAATCGTGAACAAGCGGTGTGGGCACCTCAACGGCAAGCAGCTCGTCAGCACGTCGGAGTTTGAGGCGCGGATCCGCGCGGCGGTGCTGGCCCGCGATGCGTCCGGCGGCGACATTGTCATCATTGCCCGCACCGACGCCCTGCAGTCGTTTGGCTACGACGAAGCCATAACGCGTCTCCGCGCAGCCATTGCCCAGGGTTCAGACGTTGCCTTTCTCGAGGGCGTCAATTCGGCCCAAGATGCGGCTCGCGTTTGCGCCGATCTCGCGCCCACACCCTGTCTCTTCAACAACGTGCCCGGCGGCGTGTCTCCGGACTTTTCCGTCAACCAGTGCCGCCAGATGGGGTACAAACTGGCTATTTTTCCTCTTTTGGCTTGCGAGGTCGTGTACCCTGCTGTGCGCAAGGCGGTGCAGCAAATGAAGGAGTTGGGCAATGTGCAGAGTGTCGAGGAGGATGGTAGGCGGTATGGGCCTAGGGAGTTGTTTAGGGTGTGTGGAATGGATGAGTTGATTGATTTCGACGTCAAGGCTGGGGGATTGAGTTATAAAGATGGGGCTTGAGTGGTTGAGTTGAGTGTCGTTGTTTTGCTCTCTCTCTCTCTCTCTCTCTCTCTCTCTTTTTTTTCTCTCTGGGGGTGGTTGGTTGTAATGGCGTCCCAGCTGCAATGGTTTGGTTTCCGGGGTATTCATGAAAAGAAAAAGACAAGAGGAGAGAAAAAGGCTGGCTATATTCATTTGGAGGAGCCCTGTTCGAGGGTGAGCATACATTTCTTTTCTTTTTCTTTTTACGAGCGTGTTTTATACCACAGAAAGCGAGAAAACATATCTAGCCGTCATTTCTTTTTTTTCTCTCTCTTTTTTCTTACATGAAAATTGGACAGTCAATCCTATTTTTAGTATAACATCTGTTCATTTGAGCCCGCTATTCCCTGTCTCTGCGTTATGCTGCCTCTACGTACATGCATACCTTGTATGAGGCATTGGCCAGTGAACAGGAATCACATACAAGCCAAACAGCTTTACACAAGCTATGTATGTATGTGTGTACATGTGCGATTTAACCGATTGCAGATCAACTACTGTATGTATCCAACAGATGGACCTGGTCAGACGCCACAAGCGAGAAAAAAGAAAAAAGCATGCATGCAACGCAGTGTACCTGCTTTTCGGTGTACATCAGAAACGCCACTTTGTGCAAAAAACAAGCACGAGTAGTAGTAGTAGTAGTAGTAGTAGTAGTAGTAGTAGTAGTAGTAGTACATTGCGGAGACTTTATTTTGTTTGCTTCATGAGTGACTTGGACGTGCTGACGCAGTGACTTTCACAACGGGGTGGAGTACATTACATACGATTGTTATTGTTATTCCATTACCTTTCGTCAGGTAGGTATGCCCGCTCCCTAATTGGTTATTTGATAAAGCCTTCTCAAAGAAATTGGTGTGATTGTATATGAAATCAGTATTTAAAGATGGAAAGTGCATGCCTAACATATTTTTTTCTTTTCTTATAGCTCTCGAGCGCTACCCACTCAGGGAGACATTTTCACCATGCCCACCACAGCTCTCCAACGCCTACCAACTACATCGCCGCGATTTAAGAAGCAGCTCCAAAATAGACATTGAGGATGAGATTGGTGGCCCCACTGATACTATTAAGATCTGTGGTGCCGGCTCGAAACTGCATGTTGTCGACTCCATCATAATTGTACGACAATTCATACTCGTGGTCGGCGCCCGTGTTTTCCCTCTCGATGGACTTGGTGCCCGCCACGCTCCACAGAACCGACGTGGTAACCTTGTATTCGAATTTGAGCTTGTAATCCACGCCCGCGGTGTCGACGAGAAGCGCCATGCGGCCGAAAGCGACCTTGAATTTGCCCGGCGCGGTCCACCAGTCCGTCGTGAAGTCTACCAGGCTCTTTGTGATTTGGAAGGGTTTGAAGTAGACGGTTTTCTGGCAGATGGGCTCTACGGCTTGCCCGAGCTGGATGTTATCCGGGTCGATGATTTGAAGCGTGTCTTTGAGAACCGTTACGCAGAAGTAGTTGGTTTGGCAGTACCCATGGACTGTGAGGACATAGTCGCCTGGTGGATCCGGGTCGCAGTCTACGCTAAATTGCCTCGGAGAGACACACGGATTACGGATTGCAGTGGGATGCGCCTGCAGCAGCCCGTTTTGTCTGCACACAGCGTTTAGATTTGGCTTATAGAAGACGGTAGCCCGGGAGTTGAGTTCCTTGTTTTGCAAATCGCGCGTGCGTAACTCGTGGATTGACTCGTTGGCTCGGAAATGGTCGTCCAATCGCCTCATGAGAGCTCGCTCGGTTGCATACTCGCCATCCCCATTGCGTACGTGACGAGCGACCTCGTCGTGGTGAAAGTAGAGATCAAAATGCAGATCTTCAGAAGGCAGGGGATTGCCATGAACGGAGAAGCCTAAGAGAAGGCAGACGAGTAGAGATAGCACTGTCATGGTGCAAGGGGAAATACCAAACGGATGGAATAAGAGTGCTTGAATGATAAGGAATTGGAGTACATCGCTCTTGTTATAAAGAGCTGCGCTCAGAAGGGCATTGCTAGGTGATGATAGAACTGTACTCCATAAGCGGCTGTTTACGCGCTTAGCTCATCTGATAACTTTCTTTTGACAGTTCATAATCCTGATATCTGACTGTATTTAGGCGGTTCCGCAGACTCGAATATACGACGGAGCTCGTATGCTTTGAGGCCCTGCCTAGCCTGTATTGCTTGACTAAACCAAACCACACCACAACCTTCAGACCCCGCATCAGCCCGTGGGAACCCCTGGTGCTCTATTCCGTAGCCTAGCTTCAATGTAGTATCTAAATATCTCTGATCACTAATATGGCTCACCAGCGATGCGTCTCGTGAAATACTCGTACTGATACTACTGATATCTTCTATTGCTATCCGTGCCGTGCTATACCCTTATAGCGGTTCTTAGAACAATATTTACGTGTGGATAGTAGGTGGAGACTTGGAAAAATTACGAGCTCCTTCGTACTAGTACAACCTTCAAGAATTGACTCCAAGGACACTTGGCCTACAGCACTTGCATGTTAGTAATTCAGAAATTACTTCTCACCACATCATGAACGTATTCTATTAATACTAAGTTGCACACGATAGTAAGATGGACTGATATGATCCTGGTCTGACAGCTAACCTAGAGCGCCAACCAGAGTCAAGCAGCTCCAGTACAAAGCGCGGTTAGATATCTAGGTTATCTAGACTGAGTATGTCACGTAGACCCAAGTCTAGTCACTCAAATCCATTAACCAGTATGATCAGATTTCAATATATGTAGTTTATTTTCTGTTCAAATGCAGATATGTTATCCAGCGAAGTGTCTGATACACCCAATAAGTTTGCCATGCCGCGAAGTTCGTACCGCTAGTAATGGTAAGATTTAAGGTTATAGATTTAGGATTTCTTTATTGAGAGAGTGGCAAAATAAGGTTCGGAGGTGATCGGAGACAAACGGCCAGGTAGGATGAACTACAATCCCTACATAGAGAGCTATTTACAGTGCATAAGCTGATAAGTCTAATCAACTCTAAATAACTCTAAACCAGAGATGGGCCAATTGTAAAGAGACCAGACTGGAGGTGCTATGTTTTACGAGGTGATGTTACGTAAATCAGAAGAGAATGCGGCCTGGTACATCGTGCATCCCAGCACACTAGGATAGACACTGGGTTACTCGTAGTCAGCGTGATCCAAGCCGATGAAGAATCACGCAGCATATCACGTGGCTATATCTAACTAAGTATTTAAGTAGGAAGTCGGTAGTCATAGTTGCTATCTCACTGTGTACTCTACTGTAGACGTTATATACGTTATTTATTTTCTTCTTCCATGTGAAGAAAGGAAAGGAGGGTAAAACGATAGTGTGTCGTTTTCTACACATCGACGCATGTCGTGTTCTAAGGATATCATCGTACGTGCAAAAAAAAAGGCTCAAAACAAATAACCGCCCCAAACCACCACCTTCACCACCTCTCTACAGGAAGTGTTGAATCTTTCCATCTCCTACACATGTATACGCGCACGCATATATGTACTCTTTTGAAATATCTTGTCATGCAAAGTGAGTGAGTGAGTGAGTGATGCCGAACTCAAAAAAAAGTCACACACACATAAGCATGGGAAGAAGAAGACAGTAATAAAGGGGGAAATCAAAACAACGGCTGAAAAAAAAGATGTGATGCTGAAGGAGAGATTACGAAACGTAAAACATCCACAGATACATCCAGAAAAAAGTTCTCTATATAAATGCACGGGGGTACCCAAAACCACTGGGAACCTGCCCGAGCAGCCAGAAATAAAAGGTAGTATCAAAATGAGTGGACACGGGTTATTGGCCGAGTTATCCCTTTTACATAAAAGGCAACACCACGCCCTTTCTGATGGGGCTTCCCCTACCATCTACCGTGCTGCCATCAGCACTGTATCCAGAATCGCGATCAACGTCGTCATTGTCAAAGTCGATGTCGAAATCTGGTTCCTTTTCCTCGTCTTCGTCCTCTTCGTCGCCATCCCATGCTTTCTGCGTTGCACCGCGCGAGTTCCATCGCAGGGTGCGACTGATGCTGTCGAACCACTCGGTGGGCTGGGAGAGCACAGTAGGGAACGGATATTGCGAGGCTGCGATGGTGACGTGGTCGCCCTGGCGGAGCTCGACGCGGCCCTTGCCGTCAAAGGCGCAGTATGCAGTTGCGCGCGACTTGAGGGGTACCGCGATGCGCAGGAGCATGCTGTCGTTGAGAAGCATGGGGCGGAAGGACAGAGTGTGAGGACAGATGGGGGTCAGAAGAATGGCAGGGATATCGGGGTGGACTAGCGAGCCGCCTGCTGACAGCGAATAGGCAGTCGAGCCGGTAGGCGTGGAGAAGATGCAGCCGTCTGCCTGCACAACAGTGAGCAGGTTGTTGTCGCCGTACAGTTCCAAGTTGGAGACGTAGGGCGATGGGCCGCGGTCAATGACGAGCTCGTTGAGCACCTCAAACTGCTCGGCTTCAACATGTTGAGGCGATCCTTGGGCGGCGTTCTTCTGGTAGCGGTATACAGTGCAGGTGAAGCGCATGCGGAGATTGACCCGCATACCCGTTTCGCACATGATCTTATCTAGCGCGGGGCGATACTGCGCAAACTCGAAATTGGTAAGGAAACCAAGACTGCCGAGCGAGAAGGACAGAATCGGGGGCACGATGCGCTGGAAAAGCCACGAAGTGAAGAGGACAGTGCCGTCACCGCCGAGGGTAAGGACGAGGTCGAAGATCTCGGGCGTTTCCCAGCAGAGATCAGGAGTCCACCAGCGCAGCATGTTTTTGTAGCGCGGGTCTTTTGCCAGCAGAGAGGCAGCATCGAAGCGCTTCGACTTCTGCAGCTTGTGGTCAACGTATACGTTCACTCCCACGTCGGAGCCGTAACGCGACGTGATCATGAGCCACTCGGTCAGTTCGCGCGTCAGGTATACAAGGTTGTTGTCCCGGGCCTTTGTGACGATCATGACGTTGCGCACTGTCATCTTGATGGGCCGTCGCTGGAGCTGCTTGGAGACTTCGCGGACGCTGCATGCCGTCTGCATGAGCCTCGAGTGCGAAATCGTCTCGTCTTCGGACATCTCCTCGAGCACCTTGCCCAGGTTGACTGCCTTGTCAAACTTCTTGTGGAAAAAGCAAGGCGAGGCAAGCGCCGCCATCCTGCTGGCAGAAATGTCTCCAGAGTCCAGCTCGAGCTCCGAGATGGCCTTGACGAGCTGCGAGTGCGTGATGCTCTTGGACCGGGTGCTCTTGCGCTCGTTGCTGGCGCCGTCCACGGCGGGTGCGTCCATGGTGGCTGGCATGGGTGGGGGCCGGGACTGCAGGGCCTTGAGAATAGTCTGGCGGGGAATGGCCGAGTCAATGGAACAAGCGTTCTTGCGGTGTTTGCGTGTGCGGTTCTCGCCAAATGAAGGCACGCGGGGCAAGACGGACAGGTTCTCGATGGACGACGAGGTGCTGATAGGGATGGGGGTTGGGTTGCGAGCGACGTCGTCCGAGGTCAGATTGGCTGGTTGGTGTGTGACAGCGGGCGCACCGCCAGTTTCAGCCGTTGTTACCGACGCATTATACGGCGCGTCCGGGGGGCAGTGGACGCTTGTCTGTGGAGGTTGCGGCGATTCTGGGCGAGTGAGATTATTAAATGATGCGTCGGCATCGACGGATTTAACGTCGGAGAAACTCGAATTGGCCCGTGGGGACAGGAGGGGGTGGATCTTTGCCGGACTGAACGGCTCCCCATTCTTGTGGAAACTGGCCGACAACATGGTCGCTCGAATTTGTCAGGCGGCGGGATCGGCAGCGGGCTGTTTGGCAAAATCTTCTATCTAACTGGCTTGTTGTCGCTGTGTGCGGTTCGGGGGCGGACGGAGTATTAACCCGAGGCGCGGTATCGGTTGCCGCGGCAAAGTATGTACAACGAAAGGAGAACGTAGCCAGACGGTCCGGGCGAAGGAAGTTGAATCCTCCAGGCAGATAACTATGTAAAAAAAAAGGACAGCGAGAACGGTGGATCGTGCTACTGCATGGGCGTGAGTCGTCTTGTTTCTCGGTGCTTGGTCACAGCTAGCGAGAGGTGCAGGCCGCTCTTCAAGAGGGATGGATGGTGAAGGAAGAGTCCTGCTCAACCGAAGAAACAAAACGACCAAGAAGAAGAAGAGAAGGAAGAAGAGGAAGAAATAGAAAGGGTACACACGCAACACAACGGCAAGCCGTGTGACAAAGAAGCAACGGCGCAGGATGGGAAATGACTGAAGGGCAGGTTGAGGCACGTCTTAGGCACGCTGCAAGACGTCCTATATTGACTTTGACATCTGCACAACATGGCTGTCACCGCCAGGCTGAAGCAGAGCCACTTTCCGGCCCCACGCGCCAGCCTCAAACGAAGTCACCGTCAATGTGTTGCGGCTAACCCGTCGGCTCGTCGTGACACTCTGCGTGTCACAAAACTCGTGGGTCCACCTCGGGGCTTCCACCAAACATAGAACGAAGCTATACTCCAACCACTGCTTTGACACACATCCCCCCAAGCCTCAGGCGGCATAGAGGCGAGTGCGAGCCTGTCTCTTTCGGCGCGCTCCACCGCATGGCCACGGCCCCTTCAGCTGTCAAGATTCCTTCGAGAGCGCGACGCCTCCTTGGCAGGCCAGCACTCCCTCCCGTGTGGAGATAGGCCAGCCGATCCAGCCGTCGGTTCCTACTGTAGCGATACTCTCCGAGTTTGATGTGCTCTCGGCCATGGCTGCTTACTGGCTGGCCGTGATGGTTCAGAACAGACACTCTCCAGTCGCGTCCCGAACCGCGTCGCCGCACAGTAGAAGCGTTCTTCAATCGACCAGCTGGGCCCGATGCAGACTAGTTTGCTTCCGTCGACGGCCTCCTTTGATTCGAATCAACTTCTGGTACAGAGCTGGTTTAGGCGAGACAGCTCCATCCTCGCTAAAAGCTGACTTTCGCAACACGTTGACAAAGCGGAGCCCGACTGCATTGAATCGCTGCCGTGAGAACCGCCGTCCCACAGACTTCTTACACCTCGCATTGCCGTCGCATGGGGTGAGGGAGGGAGACGTGGTTACGGTACACGTTGTGTAGAACATAGATGGCAAAGGGCCAGTAGTCGCTGCCCACGACGTTGCAGCGCCCGTCTCCGCCGCCTATACGCCCGAATCGCCGATTCGCACCCTTCTGTTTGCCCAGAGCTGCGTGCTGAAACCTACAAATCTCACTGGCCCGATTGGAGTCCTATGTCATTTTGTTCAAGCGCTGCTCCAAAACGGCCCAGCTCCCCTATCGTCGGCGCGCGAGGGCACGCGGCAGCAGTAACCTGAGGCGCATTCGTCGCAAACTAGCGCTTGTCGACATCTTACTGACGCAATCCTGCTAGAGTATCAGATCAACATCGCTAACATTCAAGCCCCCATGTTACCGCCACACCAGCATCTGCCAGCGAATCAGGGCCATTGTGTACACGTAGCAGCGTGGAGCAAGGACGAAGTGGAAGGAAGGTGTCGCGGGAACCAAATGTTCTGTATTTTGGCTTGTGTGTGAGCCCAAGTAGTTCTTCTAGCCTGCGTACAGTGCGAAAACAATTGCCCAAAACATTCGAGAGCTTTTCGTAATGACGAGGTCATGACTCTGCAGTCTTTTGGAGTCATGGACATGTCATGGTATCTAGTGAAGTCGGAACTAAAGAAAAGGTAGGCAAGTAAACTGCTCATCGAAGAGCCTTGCGGGCGAAGATGGGCAGAACAAAGGATGCCTCGTGGATTTCCTTGCTGTAGTACCTGCACAGAGACTCCTCCTCTTCAGTAGACCAGCTGCGAAGAGGCTTCTTGAGGTCGCGGGTGGCATCCTTGCTGCAGACCATGAAGCCAATCTGGCCCGAGGGGTAGGTAGGGATCGTGGTGTACGCGTACTCGACGGTAGGGAAGACCTCCTTGCAGGCCTTCTTGAGGTTGACGATCAGGGGCATGTGGAGCCATTGGTTTTCAGCTACACGGAGGGAAATGTTAGCCGCTGACCGAAACAGCACCGGTTGGGCGCGGGGAGGTCGTCGAATCATGTGCATAAAGTAGAGGGTTGAGAGAGGGCTTACAACCTTGGGTGGTAATGACACCGCCTTCGCGGAGCGCTCCGTTCAGCAGCTGGAAGTATTCCTTCTGGAACAAGGCCTCAGCAGGACCCTCGGGGTCGCTGGAGTCGGTGATGATGACGTCGAACTCGCCCTTCTTGTCCTCGAGGAACTTGAAGCCATCGCCAACAATCGTCGTCGTCTTGGGGTGCTCGAAGCCGACAGACATGCCGGGCAGGTACTGCTTGGAGAGGCGGATGACGGCCTCGTCAATGTCGCAGAGAACGGCCTCCTTGACGCAGTCGTGCTTGACGACCTCGCGGAGCACACCGCCGTCGCCGCCGCCAATGACCAAGACCTTCTCGGGGTTGGGGTGCGAGTTCATGGCGAGGTGGGTGATCATCTCCTGGTAGCTGTCTTGTGTATCAGCGAGCGCCCGGGCATGCCCATGTACAGTGTAGCATACGAGAACTCATCGCGCTCGGTGCACTGGATGACGTTGTCGAGAACGAGGACGGTGCCGTAGTCGGTCGACTCAAAGATGAGCACGTCCTGGTACTTGCTCTTCTCGTGGTGAAGAACCTCCTTGACCTGCAGCGTCATGGCCTGGCCGGGCCACATGCCGGAAATCTCACGGAACCAGCCATCTAGGAACGCCAGTTAGCCGTCGTCCAGCATGGCCCACGGATAGATGAGTCTTGTCGCTGGGCAAACTCTGCGCATCTTACCCTTGATGGTGGGGTGCTCAATGGAAGGCATCGTGTCGGTAAAAGGGCGCGTAGAGGCGAAGCGAGTGCAGCGGGTGTGTGGGCGAGATGTCGCGGTTGCTGAGCAGCGGCTGCCAAATGAGACTGAGGATTTGCAGAGCCAGCGGCGGGTATATATGGAGAAGGCCAGGGCGGAGGTTTGAGTTTTCCTTACTGCTTGCGTTGGGCACAATTTTCCAGCCCTATGCACGTCACTGGTCCGCTGTGCGCGCGGAATTGCCCCGCCATCCCCCACCATGGTGCTAAGTCGAGTCGGCATGTCCAGCCGCCCAGACGGCCCTCGTTACGATGCATTTGCACCTCTCACCATGGCCGTGTTTGGTCCCCATCCAAGGCAGCCAAATGTGCGTCGAGAAAAATGCGACTCTCTGCGTGCAAACGACACTGCCGACATGGGGTTGATCCTGCAGCCAAACCTGATGTACAGGGCGGCCTAGCTGCACACTAAGTCCTGCTTGAGCATGAGGGCGCACATGGCTGCCGCCTCGTCACCTTCAGCCGTCACAAAAGACGCATAAAGAGAGGGGCATCGGAGGGTGAAGACACGATATCCAGCTGGCTGCAAGCATCCCATCGAGACACACAAACATGACCGAACAAGCCCCAGCGAGAGATGCCGCCGAAGAGCGCAGCGCCGTCGAGCAGATTGTCTCCACCAAGGCCTACGTCGATAAGCCCGAGCTACTGTCCTGGTACACCAGCGAGCTCGAGGAGCCCAAGCCCGATGTCAGGGATCTGTTCGAGAGCTACAGCAAGGTGCCCCGGGCGGACGTGGTAGCGCACATCAAGCACATCAGGGACGAGGCATTCAAGATTGTCAGTCTGCCTTGCCACGTGAATGAGCCAGGCTCATGTTTCTGTCTAGCATCCTTACCCATGTCTGGGCAACTGGGGCTTCCTCAACTTTTCCATCGGAACAGGGCCCGCGTACCACCAAGTCGTCAGCCGCATCAAGAATGGAGAGCGATTCCTCGATCTGGGCTGCTGCATGGGCCAAGACATTCGCAAGCTTGTCCGCGACGGCGCTCCGTCGGGGAATACGTATGCTTCTGATCTCAAGAGGGACTTTTGGGACTTTGGCTACGACATGTTCCTTGACAGGTCGACGCTGCAGACCGAGTTTGTGCAGGCCGACATCTTCGACCCTGACTCGCAGTTGAAGCAGCTGGATGGCACCGTTGATATCGTCAATGCAGCCTCATTCTTCCACCTTTTCGACTGGGACGGCCAGGTCAAGGCCGCAAAGCGCGTGGCTCAGCTGTTGAAGCCGGTGCCCAACTCGGTCATCATTGGGCGGCAAGGCGGACAGCCCCAAGCCGGCAAAATTGCGCATTTGATGAAGGATGTAAATGCCTTTTGGCACAACGTCGAGTCATGGAAGGATATGTGGAAGAAGGTTGGCGAGGAGACGGGGACAGAGTGGACGGTTGAAGCCAAGCTTGGCGAAGAAGACTTGTCCAAGAGGATGAAGACCCAGCTGATCCCCCCTGCAACGGGGTTCATGACGTTTGTTATTCGCAGAGTGTGAGTGCGTTCAAGTCGAGATGGCGTAGAACAGAATGAAGCCCTTTGCCCACCCACTTCCGCCTACCATGCAAGACAGTCGCGCCAGCCAGCCAATGAGCGGCTGCCGGGGTCCGAGCAAGCAGGCCAAACTCAATCTGGCTTCAACACCACGATTGCATCTTCAGTCCCCGGCCCATTGCTTCACGTCGTCCTTGTTTCTTGCTGCTCGCGATTCCCCTTAGCAGTCGCACATCATGGATCCTTACTCCCCAGAAGGAGGTATGCGCCGGCGCCTCTCACGATACCCGCCTGCCCCCACTAACGCCCGCCAGAGCTCATCAACATCCACTCGGCCTTCCACGCTGGCGCCTACCAACAAGTCCTCGACTTCGACACATCCTCCTTCTCCGCCTCCAATGCGCTCCCTGCCCGCGTCCTCAAGCTGCGCAGCCAAATCGCCCTCGGCCAGGCAGAATCAGTATCCAGCGAACTCGCAGCGGAGAAGACACCGGATCTTGTCGCGGTAAAGCTGCTGGCAGACTACGAGCAAGGCAAAGATGTCCTGAGCGAGGCGAAAAAACTAGCTGAGCAGAGCGGACAGGAGAGCCTGGCAGTGCAGCTTTGCGTGGGTATGATTCTCGAGCGGGCCGGAGAGACAGAGGCTGCGCTTGAACTGTTGAGCAAGCACCAAGGCAGCCTGGATGCGTATGTTCCCTCAGCATGCCTAGGTCCAATCGGCGTATTAGGGACACCGAGTTGGGACACAATGGCTGACACGTGCGCAGGGTAGCGCTCATTGTGCAAATCCACCTCCAGCAAAACCGTACAGACCTCGCTGCCAAGGAAGCCCAGCGCGCACGGAAATGGGCACAAGACAGCCTCCTGGTGAATATTGCTGAGAGCTGGGTTGGCATGCGCGAGGTTCGTTGTTTGCCTACATTGTCATAGGTTGTTCGACAAGACGCTAATGTTACCCCAGGGCGGCGAGAAATACCAGTCCGCATTCTACGTATTCGAGGAACTGGCCACAACTGCACAGTCCACCTCACCACACTCTCTCGTCGCGCAAGCCGTGTCCGAGCTCCATCTTGGCCGCCTCCCTGAAGCTGAGGCCGCTTTACAACAAGCCCTCTCAATCGACGGCACATCGGCCGACACAATTGCAAACATGATTGTCTTGAACACATTGCTGGGCAAGAACGAAGAGACGGAGGAGATGAAGACACAACTTCAGTCGGTGGCCCCACAACACCCGGCCATCGCAGACTGGGCTAGCAAGAAGGAGGAATTCGCAAAGGCTGCCGCAAAGTACACACCGCAGTTCGAGGTGGCTTCGTAAGAAGGGGGCGAAAACAGCAGCAACCCCGGATTTGCATGAAGAGAGGTGGTTTATCAAACGGAGTAACGACAAGCGTGAGAAGCCGGAGGGGCCGCCCCAAACTCAGACCGCAAAAGGCGCGATCCGATGGCATTAGCTGGTGTGAAAGCGACGGAAGAAGCAAAGAATGAAGCGACCGACATATTGACAAATACATGAGGCAGCCGAAGTATGCAATGGATGATGAATTGAAAAGTGTGGGAGCTTGGACAATAGTCATCAGCGGTAACAAAGGGCACTTGTTGTTTGCATGACCACTCCTACAGACTACGAAATAGAGACACGACAACATGACCAAGGTGCTCCAATGCGTCCAGCCACCATAGTTCAGCCATGCGTACTACATGTGAGAAAGGCATCCATGGCATATCTCTCCCTCTCTCTCTATGTATGCTCAGCCGCATCAACTCGCAGTGCCAATACCTCGATTACAATTACACAACCGACTTTACATGCCAGCCGCTAAATATGACACACATGACCATGTGTATCCTCGCCAAACCTTCTCTTCCTCCTTCTCCTCCTTCTCCTTCTCCTTCTCCTTCTCCTTCTCCTTCTCCCTCTTCTACCCTCCCCTTCTCACATCACACCATTACCCCTACATATCCCCGGCAGCCTCATGTTCCGGAAAAAGATGTAAGCCCACACCCTCCCGTATAATTTCCAGCGTGGCATTTTTCTTCTTCCCTTCTCTGGCTAGAAAAAGGGGGTAAAGTTGCGGTCAGTCAGCAGGTGCGTCACATGCGGGGTGTGTGTGAGCTTGTGTATGGATTTAGGGTGCGCCGGTCGAGACGCACGGGGGCTGCTTGGTATGTACGTATGTATGTATGTATGGATGGATGGATGGATGGTCTGTGTGTCTGTGTGTCTGCGTACCATGTGGTATTAAGTGCGCTGTTAGAGGAGAAGAAGAATATGTGTTTGATGATTTAGTACAAGTATGGAGATCGACGCCTCACAAGTGGAGATGTTTTTTTAGCGGTAGATCTCTCTCTCTTTCATTCTGTCTATCTGTCTGTCTTTCTGTTTGTGCTGATACACGCGATTCTGGAATTCTTCCATCGGTCCTATTATTCGTGTGGCCATGGCACCGTTCATAATTTTTTTCCCCTCCCCCCTTGGTCTTACTGGCAATACGTAAGCTACAAATGTGCATGTGCATGTGCGTTGCGGTCAAAGCATCACGTATCACGTGGGAAAGAGAAGAATGAATTAATGAAAGGGGGGGGGGTCAATCAGCACCTCCCTCAAATCTCACCATGTTGTTTCGTTGACTTTGAATTTCTTCCATGATTACGGATGGTCCCGTATCGTGCGTAGAAACGGGGTGTGGGTGATTTTGAGTGGACGGCGTCGCCCGTTGTTCCCTACGTCTGACACGTCGTGCGTGCGAGACAGCATACATCTGCAACGAGTATTGTTGTGGAGCCGGGACTTGATACATCCGGGGGGGCTTCGAGCAAAGCAGTCTTGGAACAAGCTTAGCTTGTTGTTCCCGCCAATCGCACACCATGGTGCTACGCATTGCTTATCCATCTATCCCCATTGGGGCAACATGGGATCCATGGTTCTAAGACACTTGGGGCTACAGCCCGTAAGAATGGGGCGAGGTTTGGGAAAGGACCTGCATAGCTGGTGGGGGAAGAGGGAAAAAGAAGGCACGAGGGCTTTTGCGTAGCGCGTGCGCGCCGTGCCTTGTGCCATGGGTTATCTCGAGCTGCCGCACTGCGAATTTGTCTGGAGCTTGTCCATGTCGCAGTTGAACGGAGTATATGCCCTTTTGCAATCAGCGTGCTTACCATCTAGTCTGCATGCTGGCCCATTTTCTGTCCTATGGTCGTTGTTCACTCTGCATCAGTCGTATCCTTAACGCCGAAATCTCCGCCTAGTCCGCTTCCGGAACTGCCGGACTGTTGAGTAGCTACAAGGCCTATTTCGTCATGGCTGGGGTCGAGACGGACGGCGACAGCTCGCTCGACGTGCAAACACCCCTTCTCGAAAACATGGTTGTTGGAGTACCGCCCGTGTTTGAGGGGCTGACGAAGCAGCTGGACAAGATTGTCGAGCAGCCTCTCCTCGGTCCAAAGACAAAGTTCCCTGCAGGTGAGAGGTTTCGATGGAATGAGCGGGGTTGACGTGTGCATGTGTATTGACCCTCAATATAGCGGCCCTTGGTTTTGCACGTAAAGATGCATCCGGGCGGCGAAAACCACAGGCCATTGCGCACCGGGGGTACAAGGCCAAGTTCCCTGAGAACACCATGGGTGCCTTTAAAGGTGCTGTTGAGGTTGGCGCCGAGGGCCTAGAAACGGACATTCATCTCACAAAGGATGGTGTGGTTGTATTATCTCACGTCAGTTCCCAAGCCGTGCCACGGCAGCACTGTCCACTGATGCTATACAGGACAAAGATCTCAAGAGATGCTTTGGCAGAGATGAAAAGGTCCTCGACTGTGACTATGAGTTTATCAGTAAGCTGAGGACGTTGAAAGAACCGCACGAGCCAATGCCTCGTCTTGCGGATCTGCTCGAATATCTCGCACAGCCCGGGCTCGAAGACATGTGGGTGTTGCTCGATATCAAGGTTTGTAGTCGGCGCCTTCTCCCTAGACATGGGCTAATTGAGGGCAGCTCGACAATGACACCGACGACGTAATGCGCTTGATTGGTGACACAATACGAAGTGCGCCGCCCTCGCCTTCGCGGCCCTGGTCGAGCCGTATCGTTCTCGGGTGCTGGGCGGCGAAGTACCTGCCGCTGTGTGCACGGTATCTGCCAGGCTTCCCGGTCTCGCATATTGGCTTCTCGACGCTTATTGCGTCATACTTCTTCACGGTCCCGAACGTCTCTTTCAACATGGCCCAGGCTATCCTCATGACGCCGTGGGGCCGGCTGTTCATACGCAAAGCACAGAGCGACGGCCGGCCCGTATATGCATGGACGGTCAACGAAGAGAGCAAAATGCGGTGGGACATACGGCAGGGGCTTGACGGCGTGGTGACGGACGACCCCAAGCTGTTTCTGGAGGTCCGGAACTCGTGGCACGAGGGCACCAAGGATGGGGTGACGGTGCTGGCATGGCTAGACGTGTTGCGGATCAACTTGTTCTGTCTGATCTATACCGCCTTGTTCCAGTTTATGTTTGGGTTCCAGAGGAAATCGCTGGTTAAGCTGGCAGAAGACGAAGAAGAAGAGCATTAGCGGGCTCGAAGCGGTTGACAAAAGTAAAACAATATAATGTGTGACTTTTTATTTTTTTTGTGCAGCGACATGGTGTTGAGGAGCACACGCCACGAGCCATGACGGCAGGGTCCAAACATTTCCTTAGCGACCCGACGCGTGAACCCCGCCCAAGGCGCGTTCGTACGCCAACCACATTGCCGCTCGAAACCACCATGCCCAGGTACGCCTGCACTGCGACCACCAAGCGAGACGGCGGTCCAGCTAATTCAGGCTAGGGAAATCATAACATTACAGGCCGGCCAGTGCGGCAACAGCGTCGGGCAGCAGTTCTGGCAGCAGCTCTGCCAAGAACACGGCATCAACAAGGACGGCAACCTCGAGGACTTTGCGACCGAGGGCGGCGACCGCAAGGACGTCTTCTTCTACCAGTCCGACGATACGCGATATATCCCGCGCGCCATTCTGCTGGACCTGGAGCCCCGCGTGCTCAACTCGATCCAGGCGAGTGCGTACAAGAACATTTACAACCCAGAGAACTTCTACATCCACAAGGATGGCACCGGTGCGGGCAACAACTGGGGCATGGGCTACAGCATGGGCGAGCAGGTGCACGAGGACATTCTCGATATGATTGACCGCGAGGCCGACGGCTCAGACTCGCTCGAGGGCTTCATGATGCTGCACTCGATTGCCGGCGGCACGGGCTCTGGGCTCGGCTCATACATGCTCGAGCGCCTGAACGACCGGTTCCCCAAGAAGCTCATCCAGACGTACAGTGTCTTTCCCAACACCCAGGACGGCGATATTGTGGTGCAGCCCTACAACAGCTTGCTGAGCTTGAGGCGCTTGACCCAAAACGCAGACTCGGTTGTGAGTAGTACAGCCATGACTCCCTCTCCGAGCCCCAACACTAACTGCGCAGGTCGTCCTTGACAATGGAGCCCTCACCAGGATTGCCGCCGACCGGCTGCATGTCATGAATCCCTCGTTCGAACAGACCAACCAGCTGGTCTCTACAGTCATGTCCGCCAGCACCACCACTCTGCGCTATCCTGGCTACATGCACAACGACCTCGTCGGCATTGTCGCCTCGCTGATTCCCACTCCACGCTGTCACTTCTTGATGACCTCGTACACACCCTTTTCCGGCGAGAATGTAGAGCAGGCGAAGACTGTTCGTAAGACGACTGTCTTGGACGTCATGAGACGCCTGCTGCAGCCCAAGAACCGCATGGTCTCGACAAACCCCACCAAGAAGAGCTGCTACATGTCGATCTTGAATATCATCCAAGGAGAAGCCGACCCCTCAGATGTGCGTTGTTTCCCCACTGCTACGCCTTGGACTACACTGACTCAACTCCAAAGGTACACAAATCGCTCATGCGCATTCGCGAACGCCGCCTCGCGACATTTATCCCATGGGGCCCAGCCTCAATCCAAGTGGCGCTCACGAAGAAATCTCCCTACGTGACATCTTCACACCGTGTTTCGGGCCTCATGCTCGCCAACCACACGGGCATCGCAACCCTCTTCAAGCGCATAGTGGCGCAGTACTCGACCCTCCGCAAACGCAACGCCTTCCTCGAAAGCTACAAGCGCGAAGTGCCGTTCAAGGACGGCCTCGGCGAGTTTGACGAGGCAAAGGAGGTGGTGCAGGGCCTGATTGCTGAGTACGAAGAGGCCGAAGACGCGGATTATCTCAGTAAGGAATCGGCGCCTATGGAGGAAGCAGAGGACAAGAGGGCTGGTTGAGAAGAATGAATGGTGTGTCTGAGATATATATACATATATAGGAAGAAGAAGAGAGAAAGAGAAGAAGAAAGCTTGTTGGAATGGGAGGGGGGGCGTCGTTGGCGTCTTTTGGATGGCATAGTGTGGAGTCCTTTTTTTTGGTGCAACATGCCAAGTTGGGAAAGGCTTCTTCTCCATACTTATGGCGGGCGTTTGACGGGGACATGCAAATCACGGGTCGGGCATTTATGGTCCATGTAATTATTTGCAGCAGCATTGGGGGAGCGCTACATGTCCATTTCCAATGTGCAAGTTGGTTTCTTCTCCCGCAGTACTGGTGGTGCCGAGGAGGTATTCTGGTGGGTATTCGTGTAATCGAAAGAGTGACTTTTGGACTACTTACTTTGGCAAGTCATGAGTTGCAATGTGGTCGCAAAATTGGGATTTGGCTCGTCTTAACTCCACTCCATAGCCTGCTGTACAGTGGGAAGAGCCCAGTCGGCTAATCTTCAATTGTGTATTCCTGGTATATCGAGACAAATGCTACATTATCCCTACTGTCCCTGGGTCCACGGCACCCTCTCAACGCCCCTAACCCATCTCCGTCGCCTCCACTCGCCCTTGCGACTAGGCTTGCTTTCTTCCCACGCGCGCCTGAGAACCTCTTTCTCCTGGTCGGCCGCCAGATCCAAGCTACCGCCCTTTGACGAGGACCTCTTCTTGATGCGAGCGTCGTGGGCAGCGCGCTCTTGGTGGGTCTCGAGGACCTCGTAGTGCAAGTCTGTGACCCAGCGCTCGCCTTCGATTTCGACTTCGACGCCCGTGACGCAGCGGTCCTCGACCCATTCGCGCGAGAGCAGGTCCAGCGTCCATTTCTTGTCGCTCCAGCGCCAGCCGCGGGGCGGAAGCACGTCTTCGAAAAAGGGGGTACCGCGCGGTCTGTCGCCGCTGATTCGCGAGGGGGACAAGGGCGCGTAGGGCGAAGGGGAAAAGATGAAGCTCTCGTATTCACCATGCTCGTCGTGGAGCGGGCGGTGCTGGAGTTCGAAGATTTCCACTTCACGTGTTTCCTGCCATGTCTCGAGCTCGATGTCGGCGCGGGAAAGCGTGAGGAGAAACGAGCGGCTCTCTTGCTCTACGTGGGTGATGAACTTTTCTGTTTCGGGGGTGGCGAGCAGGTCTTGGACAGCCGGGTGGCCGAGGGCAGTGACTGCGTATCCGACGAAGAGAAGGATGGCTCGCCATGGGAGGAGATGTGCGCTGATGAACAAGAGAACAGAGGCGACGAGCAGGATGAGATAGATGAGCGACGAGAGGTTCTCATTGCTAAAGTTGGTCAGGGGGGTGAAGAAGCTGAGAATGGCATCATGTGCTCGGCTAAAGTCCTCCATACAGTTTTGGAGATCTCGCATGTTGCGGAAAAAGTCCTTGCTGAACTCGGGCGCGGGCTTGATAGTCGTGGCGTCGGCTAGTGGCGGGCCCCCCAGACTCCCTCTCCACAGATCTTGGTCCACATCCCGTGTGCTACTTACGGGGTCCGGGTGGCGAGTAAGATACGCGGGTACCATGACAAAGAACATGCCACAGGCCAGCGGCAGCACAGGCAGGAGATATGGGTTCACGCACACAAATGTCCAGACAAAGAGGAAAGAGAGGGTCTGGGTGGGCTGCACCCAGGTAAAGAGGCGTATGGCCCTGTTCTGGGCTATAAACGCTACGCCAATTCGCGAGTTGAAGCGACGGAAGTTGGACGACATGGTAGGGATGCTGAAGCTTGGCCGAGCGACATAGGTGCGGGAACGGCGGTCCTTGACCTGTGGCGTGTTTCCAGATGGTGATGGGGATGCATCTGGAGGCGAGCCGTCCGAGAGGTCCTCAGAGGGGAGAACCTGCGAGAGCAGCCTGGAGACGTCAGTTGCACTCTCCACGCCTTGGATGCGCACCGGGAGGCACGTACAGGTTCATCATTTTGTCGCCCATCCTGCTGCTCGAGTCCCGAGTCATGGTGTCGCCTAGCGATTCGAGCTTGTTCTTTAGCTTGCTGGCAGAGAGGCGACGCGAGTGGCCCTTGGTGTGAGTCGGGGTGCCGTCGTTGGAAGCATGGTGGACTTGGACGACGGGAATGGGCGAGTCGCGGTTGGCCAGGGACTCTGAGGCGTCGGGCGGCATGGCGAGGTGGAAGTGAGCGGTGGACAGAGGCCTGTGGCGGCGGAGAGCGTGTCACGTGTCACGTGGTGGTGGGCGAGCCGCGGCGTCCCATGAGATGGATGGTGGATGGCGGGATCACAGGACCATGGTTTCGGAGCAAGCTCTCTCGGGCTGTCAAGGCGCGTCGCTGGCCGGGTCGGGCGTGGGCGTCGGGGTCGGGAGCGGGAGGGAGGAAGGGAGGTTTGAGGGTTGCAGTGGTGGTGGTGGTGGTGGTGTAGATGACGCACATGCATGTGAAGGGTGGCGCTGTGTCACGTTTGTCGGCTCCGCCCAGCTTCCCCACACTGGCGGCCCGTGCGCGGTTGAGGAGCAGGGAGGGCTACATGTGGTGATCAGTGATCAGTGATCAGGGCCAGCGACGTGAAGCCTCTGCGACTCGGCGCCGTCTTGGTGTCGCGGTGCAGTCTCGCTCTTTGACACAGCATGGCGCCGGCTAGAGGGCTGCTAGTCAGGGCATGCCGTGCCTCGTCGAAGCATGTGCCTGATTCAGGGCGGGGGCAGCAGATGCAAGGCAGCTCGAGGCTTCAGTCGGGCACATGCAGCAGGGCTCAACAATCCATGGCGGCATGTGCAGGCGAGGCCAGGACGGGCGGGTGGTGCAAGGCGCACGGCATGGGGCAGACACATGGGCGTGGTGTATAGTGGGCGTACATAGGCGCGGCATGGCTTGTGACGAGAGCGAGGCCCTCAACGGCGTCGGCGGCCAAGGCGGCGGCTTGGAGGGCAACGAGGAGCGCGACAGTGTTTGGAGAAGTCGTGGGGACGCTCGCGCGGACCCAGCGGCACCTTGCCCCGCCCGCGTCCGGGAGCAGACGTCGTGGACGAGGGAAGCGGCCGAGATGAGGAGGGCGGCAGGGCGGCGGCGGCGGCGGCAGCAGACGACGATGATGGGGGCGGCGCGGTGGACGGGGCTTGGGGGGTGGTGGTGGTGAAGGCATTGGCGGCGCCCGTGGAGCGCACCCGGCAGCCCTCGTCGCCCGTCTTCTGGAACTTGCGCACGCGGTCTTCTGCGCACGCCGTGGCCGTGTTAGCATACATGGATGGCATCATGGCTCGCAGGCCCGGCGGCTGGCCCCTAAATGCTTTTTCGTACCTGAGGAACCGCTAGAGGCGTCCGACACGGTGGACCCTGACCGCCCGGGCTCGTTGGTGGATGGCATGGCGCTGGATCGAGTCGTCGTTCGCGGCTGCATCGACATGGTCCGCACGCCAGCTCGCGGTGGGAGCACCAGCTGTGCGAGTTCTGCTGTGCGAGTGAATGCGCCGAGAGCGTCTCCAAGCGTTGCGCTTGGGCGTCAGAGTCGACTATGCCGACATGTCTGGTCTGAGGGCCCGGCTGCAGCAGCGGTGAGGACGGTGGGCGGTCCGCTAATGAGAAATAGCGATGGCTAATCAACTGCACTGGCGGACGTTGGGCACGCACGCCAGGGAGCCGGATGCGGCGATGGCGACGGCGACGGCGACGGTAAAGGGGCGGGCGGGCGGAGGGCTGGAGCAGTGGTTCAGCGCAGAAAAAGCACTGCGCTCGACGTGCAGCAGCGTGGTGATGGCAATGTATCTGCCAGATGGACGGCCGTCGTCGACGACACGGCGAGCCCACAACAGCCACACTAGGCCCGAAGCTGACGGCCCCAGTCGACGCCGCCCCTGTCTGGCCGGGTCGTCGTCGTGTAGGGAGACGGCAGCCCTGGCCGTGCTGCTATTAGCCCATGGGTGCAGTATACTAACTGTGTGTTGCTGACTGGATGGGCCAGCCATTGCCATAACAACCCGAAGGTACCGACGACGCACGCACGCACGCACGCTTGCTTGGTGACCTGGCGACCGACCTGACTGACGCGTGAATCTGTGTAGGATGACCAGCGCCGCCGCCGGTGGAGCCAGCGGAGCCTCTGCCAGTGCTGCTGCCGGTGCCAGTGCCGCCAGTGCTGCCAGTGCCAGTGCCAGTGCCACTCCCACTCCCACTCCTGCCAGCGCTGCCTCCGCCGCTGACGCCCGCGCTGCCTCCGCCGCTGACGCCCGCGCTGCCTCCTCCTTCCTGCCCTCCTCGCTCGCCGCCAACGCGGCCACGCGCCCTGTCCCCTCCAACCCACGCTTCAGCTTCTCCAAGCAGCCGCACCTCGACTCTGCTGGCCTCGACGCCGCCGGGCATGGCGCCGCCGTCTCGTACGACTTCCTGCCCGCGGTCAACTTTGACGACTTTGCCAACAGCCTCGCCTACGAGCCCGCCCTGAGTGACTTTCCCGCCCCGGGCTCCTTCATGAGCAGCGTGCCTGCCGACTCCACGTACACTAACAACAACAGCAACAGCAACACGACCGTCACCATGGCAAACACTAACACAAACACCATCCCCACCTTCACAGGCACCCCTGGCCACACGCGCCCTGCACGCAGCAGCTCTTTTGCCCGCCGCTTCAGCCAGTCGGCTGCCCGCAAGGCCAGTGGCGGCATGCCTGCATCTGGCGCTAACACGCCCTCGCTGCCCCAGCCCCCCAGCAACATGTCCATTCGCACTCGCCGCCAGAGCCAGTTCTCTTCACAGGCACCCCCCAACCCGGCCGCACGCCCCCCGCGAAAGAGCGTTGGCCCTGGAATGATGCCAACCCACAGCTTCGACCGCGGCGACATGCTCAACATGCCCACCGACATTGGCTCCCGCCGAGAAACCCTGTCGGTCAACTTCAATAACACGCCCTCGGGAGTGCCCAAGCTCGCAAACGCCACACGGACCGCAAAAGCAAAGTCTTTGCAGCCCCCCTCAAGACAGCAATCGGGTCATTTAACTGTCTCGTCCATGACGCCAGACCCGGCCTCCATGTCTCAGAGTACCACTCGCTCACCTGGCAGGGGCGCTCAACGGTCGCATACACCTTCCTCGGCCGCTAGCAAGCGCCAATCCACTGCACCACACATCTCCGGCCTCGGCGCCAGAACCATCAGCCCCACCGACGCACGCCGACTGAGACGACTGTCTATAAACCCGAACCAGCAACAGCAGCCTCCAGGAGGCCCGGTCGGACCCCCGACTCCCCAAGGCGACGCTTCGTTTGACGAGCGTGCCTTTAGCCAGTCTCCGGCCATGAGGCTTGGAGGCAGCATGACGCCATCGTCGGCCCGCGCGACGCCTGAGCAGAAGCGAAAATCGTATGCCTCGGGCGTCTCCCTCTCGTCCAACTCGAGCCTCAACTCGCTCAAGGTCGGACCTCCGTCGTCCATACCTCTGCGTACCAATCCTGCTCCGTCCGGCTCACGACTGCCCGCGCCGAAGCCACGAAACATACAAAGCTCAGCTGGTGGAGAACAGGAAGAGGTGCCCCCTGTGCCGGCCATCCCCAAAGCATTTGAATCCCCCAAGGATCTTGAACGCAGCGGCTTTGCCTTTTCGGCACAGCCGTCCAAGGCGGGAGCCTCCCAGCCCGCATCGCACGAGTCGGCAGCAACGCCCGACGTGCATCAGCCTGGAGCCGGTCAAAATGACATGCCAGATGCTCCTTTGATCAACCCCCGCACAGGATCCATCAGGCACCGGAGGGGCTTGACGGTGGGCAACACACCGGAACCCGACAAGACAACCCCGGTACAGCAATCCAGCAAGAAGAATTTGCAGCCAATCAGATTGCCGCCGCTCAACCTGCTGCCCCTCGGCACTCCCTTCAACAACCGATTATCAGCCTTTCCCTTGGACGATGCAGACGAAGGCAATGTCACGCCGCCGCCAAAGCGTACTGCTGCCAAGACGCCGAGTACGCCCATGACGGCCTCCAAAGCCAGCTTCTTCTCCAGGCACCCCAACCACGATGAATACCACAAGCATTTACGCAGCAGCAGTTCTGCGTTTAACCTACGCGCAACAGAGTCTCCGCTTGACACGCATCCGAACATCGGTACCATACCCGTTCCGACCCTGAACCCAAACAGGCAAACCACGACTCCTTTTGCGTCCAACTCATTGCCAAAAGGCAGCGGCGAATTTGCCAGTATACAGCCACGACGGAGTGGAGAGTACAAATCGCCAAACAAGGACGTGGAGATGCAGAGCATGGTTGCGGGCCCACGGCCTTTGCAGAAGAAGAACACGGCCGAGTCGGTGCACACGTCCACCTCGACAGAACCCGAGACGCCCTCTTCGTCCTCTTCGCTGCGGCGTAAGCTGAGCTTGAGTGGCTGGAGGCGAGCTTCGTCCAAGGCAGCAAACCACACATCGCAAACCCCGCAAACTCGAAAGCAGGGGCCCCGGCCCGACGAGTCGAGACCGCAGCCGCAGCTACAGCCAGCGAAAAACACCGGCATGCCCCCGCCCAAGCTACCAGCGTCTGCTACGTGGAGCGGTGCCGCTGGTACAGGTACCAGCCCGACTCCTGCCACCAAGCGCTCTCGGCCGTCTCTTGACTTTGGACGCCGCAAAGCCTCCAGCACGGCAATTGCAAACGACAATGAGGTTGACAAGGGCAATAATGCACGCAAGCCTGCCGGAAGTGCGGGAGCGCGTGCTGTGTCTGGTCAAACCGAGCAGCCTGCCGCTCAGCCGACACAAAAGTCGTCGTCGTCTATTTTGACGCCAATGCAACGCATGCTGGGCACCAAGAGTTCGTCCAACATGCTCAAGGCCCGCAACCTGGACCCCAACCTCGACCGAGACGACTTGCTCGCGGATGAAGAGATGAAGAAGCTCGCTGGTAAGCGCAAAGACTTTGAGCATGCTGCGCGGGATGTGGATGAGCTCCGCAAGCGCGCTACTGCCAAAGAGCGTGTCACTCCAAGCGATGCCGTACGCATGGCAAACCTCAATATCTTCGAAAGAGGCGAGATTATCGACTACAAGGAGGTATATTTCTGTGGCACTAAGAACGCCAAGAAGCATGTTGGCGACCTCAACGCCCAATCGGCCAACTTTGGTTACGATGACGATCGCGGTGATTACAACATCGTCTTGGGAGACCACCTGGCCTACCGGTACGAAGTGGTTGATGTTTTGGGCAAGGGCAGTTTTGGTCAGGTTGTGCGTTGCATAGACCACAAGACAGGAGGGCTAGAGGCCATCAAGATCATTCGTAACAAGAAGCGGTTCCACCAACAAGCTCTGGTTGAGGTCAACATTCTCCAAAAGCTTCGCGAATGGGTAAGTGGGCATTAGAGATAGCGGATGCAACAAGTTACTAACAAACGTGTTCAGGATCCCGACAACAAGCACAGTATGATCAACTTTACACAAAGCTTCTACTTCCGAGGCCATCTTTGCATCTCCACGGAGCTGCTTGGCATGAACTTGTACGAGTTCATCAAAGCACACGAGTTCAAGGGCTTCTCGCTGCGTTTGATCCGTCGTTTCAGCAAGCAGATCTTGTCCTCGCTGGTTCTTTTGAAGCAACAAAAGGTCATCCACTGTGACTTGAAGCCCGAGAACATTCTGCTGGCGCACCCCCTGCACTCGGAGATCAAGGTCATTGATTTCGGATCCAGCTGCTTCGAATCGGAAAAGGTCTACACGTACATCCAGTCTCGATTCTACCGATCTCCCGAGGTCATTCTGGGCATGAGCTATGGTTTGCCCATCGACATGTGGAGTTTGGGTTGTATCCTTGCAGAACTGCTCACGGGCTACCCCATCTTCCCAGGAGAGAACGAGCAGGAGCAGCTGGCTTGCATCATGGAAATATTTGGTCCTCCCGAGAAACATTTGATTGAGAAGAGCAGCCGGAAGAAGCTCTTCTTTGACTCGCTGGGCAAGCCTAGAGTGACGGTATCTTCAAAGGGCCGCAGACGCAGACCAAGCTCGAAGACGTTGCAGCAGGCCCTCAAGTGTGACGATGAGGCCTTCTTGGACTTCATCTCGCGATGCCTGCGGTGGGACCCTGAACGACGCATGAAGCCCGATGAAGCCATGCAGCACGAATTCATCACGGGCATACGGAAGCCCCCTCAGCAGCGCCGAACTTACAACGCTCCCACCAACGTCTCGTCGCCCGCAAAGCGCGTGCCAGCGCCACAAGCGACTCAGCCGCGCGCTCGACCACTTCCCGAACCACCAGCTCCCAGCTTCCGAAACGGGACTGCGGCTAGTGCCCAACGCGAGGTGTCGAACAGCCAATCTCCCGTAAAGGCGTCTGCTCCGCACCGACGGCACTCAACCACTCAAGGAGTCACGTCTGGAGGTTCTGGCACTAAGCGTGCTGCGAATGGAGCTCCGCTCAACACCAACTCGGGTAGCGGTCTGCCGCGGGCGGCACAACGAAGCGTATCAGGCAAGCCTGATCTCGCTTCGGCGGCAGCAATCGCAAGCCTCGTAAGTGGTTATGCTCAGGATCATCTTCGCACGTGCTAACAACGTGCTAGAAATCACGCTCATAGCCTTAGACAAGCGGGGAAATATCCTCACCATAGATCAACGACTACCTCGGCATTTCATAGGGCTCTTCTACAGTAATTTATATGGGTACACAAGGATTGTTGCCACTAGCAAGGGAGGAGAAGGGGGGAGGGGTTGTCTTGCAGTTGTGTGCTCATGTGGTTGTCAACATTCATGTTTTTACATTCAGCGACGTTTATACCCCCCGAAAAAAAGTCTCAATTTGAGCATATTTTCACTGGTGTATTGATGGGCATTTTGGATAGGGAGGGGTATGACGGGATCCCTGATATGACCAGCATCTTAAGGCGTTTCACAAGATAGATGTATTTATCTAGGATTTCTAATACTATGGGAATTGGCGGTTGATTACTGGGGTGCAGTCACCATTAGTCAATATCCTGTCGCACGCAATCAGGCATTACGAGCATGTGCTGTTTCATGACTCAGACGAGATTTGTTACGAGTGCCAAATTTCCTTGAGCAATTACAGGCAGTGCCGAATTTCGTGGAGCAATTACAGGCCATACAGGGGGGTTTGATTTGCTGGCATGGGCTACGCCACTTGGACTACCTAGGACGTAGATCACTCGTGATGTCAGCCACACTATCGATAAGCCCTGTCACGAATTTGATAATGCCGACATTCACACTACCACTCCCACTCCCACTCCCACGCACTGGGCGACCACCCGCGTTGATACCCACGTCTCTTTGTTTTTTCTTTTGCATACATCTGCAATGCCACGCGACCCGCTCATAGGTCTCGTAGGCAAGCCCTCGTCAGGCAAGTCGACTACTCTGAATAGGTGCGTAATGCCCCTCCAAGTCCCCTCTTCCATGGGCCTTTCTAAGATGTATCCCACGGCAGCTTAACAGATGCTTCCTCCAAAGTCGGTCCGTAAACGCCAAATTGCATGTGGGAAAGTTTTAGGCTGATCAGATGTAGGCAACTTTCCGTAAGTCCCTCCTTGTGCCACACGCAAGAGCGCAGCGCTCTTGTAGCACGGTAACCTGACACTTTTCCCTAGCTTTACCACAATCGATCCTCAGCGCGCCATTGGATACCTGCAAATCTCGTGCCCATGCGCCCGTCTTAACCTCTCAGACCGCTGCAAACCCAACTATGGATCCTGCGTAGAGGGGCGGCGATCGGTGCCAATCGAATTACTCGACGTAGCTGGGCTTGTTCCTGGTGCGCACATGGGTAAAGGTCTAGGAAACAGGTTCTTGGACGATTTGCGACACGCGGATGCGCTGGTGCATGTGGTTGATGTCAGCGGGACGACGGACGCCGAGGGCAAGGCAACAAGAGGGTACGACCCGAGCCAGGATATCGTGTGGCTAAGGAGCGAGATTGTGCGGTGGATACAAGGCAACCTGATGGAGAAGTGGGGCAGCATCAAGAGGAGGCATGTAGCAGTCAAAGCGACAGCCGTTGAAACGTTGCAAAACCAATTCTCGGGTTATGGGTCGACATCCAGTGTCGTAGCACGGTGTCTTGACCGGCTCGCGCTCAAGGAACCTCTCCAGGACTGGTCGGACGAAACGATTGAGCGCGTGGTTAACGCCTTTACCGACGAAAAATTCCCGACGGTCATTGCGCTCAACAAAATCGACCACCCGGATGCGGATAAGAATATTGCAAAGATTGCGAAGATGCAAGACCCGAAAAGCATAGTGCTCTGCAGCGCGATATCAGAGGTTTTCCTCAGGAAACTGGCCAAGCAAGGCTTCGTCAAATACGTCGAGGGCAGCGAGTTTGTCGATACAAGAGAGGATTTGATTGAGCAAGGCGATCCAGAGGGTGGGGGATTGAAGGAACTCGACGAAAAGCTCAAGACGCGAATCGAGAACCTCAAAGACATGGTGCTGTACCGCTTTGGCAGCACGGGGGTGGTGCAAGTGCTGTCAAGGGCGGCTGAGCTGCTTGGTCTGGTGCCAGTATTCCCCGTGCGAAATATCCACACATATACGAGTGGGTCTGCGAGTTCGACAGCAGTATTCCGCGACTGTGTGTTGGTCAAGAAGGGAAGCACGGTGGGCGACGTGTACAGAAAGGTCATGGGAGATGCGCCAATGGCATACGTAGAAACCGAGGGCGGACGGAGAGTGGCAGAAGACGATGTTGTTGCTGTGGGGAAGAATGATGTGAGTTTACCTTTGCCAAGTATCAGGGTGGTCGCGTGCTGACAAGATGTAGATTTTGAGTTTCAAAGTTGGACGAGCATAGTGCGACTGCTTGCTGCGGTGATGAACTATCGCGCATCCTTCATGGCTGTAGGCCTGTTCGCCGCTGCTGGTGCATGTATATATGGCAGTGTAGTAGTCTCCAGGGCATCACGTGTTCAGTTTCAGACATGAGTCAATTTGCCTTTTTTGACCGATGCCTTGCTCCTGGCTCCATGGCCTTGTATCAAATTCTCGGTCCACGGGAACAAGCAGAGGAGAGATGAAGAATACCGTGACTGCGCGGTGATGCGGTACCTGATCTGCAGGCTTAGCCTGGCACTGCTGCAGCTGCAGAGTTAGTGTCGGCGAACCGATGGGGTACTCACTGCGGAGTGGGGGGCGGCAAATATGATTGCTTGACTTGTATGGAGGAGTCGCCATGGAGATAAGACAGCCACAGTCACAGTCATCACACGACACGATCCTTTGACCCGGCGTGGGCATGTCATCGAGCGAGGCACACTGGCCGCGTTGCTGGACGACGGCCACTATTAGCGCAATGGCGGTCGTGGTCGCATGGATCGGATTTAACCGCATTTTGCCCCCCTTACGGCAGAGCGGCCGATTTCGGTTGGGAGCCGTTATGCAAAGGGGCACAGACGCTTTTTGCTATAGACGAGTAGCGCGTGTGGTGTGGAGTCGAGTCGAGTGGAGAGCGAGCGCGCGAGACAAAGTAACAAGTGGAAGCGCATCTAAACCTGACTTAGTCTGCCCGTCGGCGAGCCGCGCTACCTCTGCTCGTAGCACCAAACCTTCAATCCATGTGTGAATTGATTGCTAATCCCACCTCCAGCTCCCCCTCCCCCCCATTCAGTGCGGGTGCCTACGGAATCAAAAATGCTCACTGCGGGGTGCCATGGCGGAGGCGAGGTGAGTGAGAAAGAGAGAGAAATTTCCCCAAATCATGCCACTCATGACTGAGCATTGCGTGTTTCGCCCTGCTTCTGGCCCGCAGTGACACCTTGAACCCTTTTTTGCCTCGTCCACCGAGGTTCGCCAGCCCGCGGCCGGAAAATCTGCTTGTCATGCTGTTGGGTTGGGTTGTCTTTTTTTTTTCTCTCTCTCTCTCTTTCTTTCGTTCGTTCCCACAGCTTGCACATGGGGCTGTTCGCACCTGGACTCGTTCCATTTCCTCTTCTGTACGCCTACATGATTTGGCATCCCGCACGTGGTGGTCGCGGTGGGGGTAGAGAGAGAGATCAAGCGCGCTCGCACAAAAGGGTGGCCCAACACTGTCATCCTGTTAGTGTCGATACGTTTCGGGTTGGTCGCAAACAAGGTTCCCTTCCCGTGGCCCTTTTGCTCCCTTCGCTCTGCCTCTCACACACACTCGAAAACACTCGAGTCTGGAGCCCGCCCTAGTAAGGTCCCAGCGTTGCATTCCGAAACCACCCTCTGACTAAGGCCACTTTGGGTCCTGTTCGTCCACACACCCACTTCCCTCCCCACGCCAACCACATAATTAGCTGCCTTGTCCCCCGTCGCCCCCCCCTCCTAAAACCTTCTCTCTTCTTCTTCTCGGGTTCTTTTTTTCTTCTTCTTCTTTTCTCACGCTACTGCGATTCATCTTTGGGTAGCCAAGAAAAAGGGTTCGAGTGGCAAAAAAAAAATAAACGCTATCTTGCCCATGGTCTCTTGTTAGTTGCTACTTACTAAAAAAAAGGGCCTCTCTCTCTCCCTCCGATTCCGATTCCGAGTCCCCTCACCCAATCCAAGTCTCCGAGTTGGCCTGATTTCCCTCAGGCCCAACAAACGGGGTTCCATTCTCGAGTCTCCCCTTCTCCCCCTGGGGTTTCGGGCCTGGGTCAGCGTGTCCCGCCTTCCCAACTGACTGACTTTTTTTTCCCTCCGGCTTTTACGCTAAGCTGTACGGCCAAAGTTTCTTTCGTCTCACCGTCGACACCATGCTTCCCGATCTACCCAAACTAAGTGACTATGATGTGTCGGTCCGAAACGGCTTCTTGCCTGACGAGGTGCCGCTCGACGTGCTGCCAGACCGGTACTATCAGCCTTGGGAGACGGTCGTGCGCAACTTCCAGAGCCTGATACTGGCCAAGCGTCTACGCAGGATCGTCGATACACTGCCTGTGCTGGGGACTGAACTTCTCCTCACTGAAGCTGAGTGGCGGCGAGCGTATTCGGTCCTGGGATTCATTGCGCATGCATACATCTGGGGAGGTGACAAGCCAGCAGATGTAAGCTTCGTTTGCTTTTATTCAACATGCGCTGCATAGCTAATGGGTCTGAGTAGATTGTACCGCCATCCATCTCGATACCGTTTCTGCAAACATGCAGTCACCTGGAACTGCCGCCGGTTGCGACATTTGCAGCCGTTTGTCTGTGGAACTGGCGGCCTTTGTTTGACGGCGAGCCTGCAGACTCTCTGGACAATCTGGCGACACAGATGACTTTTACTGGTTCGCTGGACGAATCGTGGTTCTACCTAGTTTCAGTGGCCATTGAGGCGAGAGCCGGCCCAGTCATTCCCATGATGATTGAAGCCATCGCAGCAGCTCGGCGCAACGACAGCAACACCGTAGTGCAGTGCCTGAGGTCTTTTTCAGAGCGGCTGGACGAGATAGGCTCACTTCTGGAGCGCATGTACGAGAGCTGTGATCCTCACGTCTTCTACCACCGTATTCGACCGTTCCTAGCGGGAAGCAAGAACATGGCCGACGCCGGCCTTCCCAACGGAGTCATGTTTGACGATGGGTCCGGTCAGCAGGACTACGTGCAGTTTAGTGGGGGCAGTAACGCGCAGAGCTCCATTATTCAGTTCTTTGATGTAGTCCTAGGCGTCGAGCACCGACCGACCGGTGAGAAGCGAACTGAGTCAGGTAACTTAGCGCCAACTGGACCTTCTCATGGCTTCATCCAGGACATGCGCAACTACATGCCGGGACCCCATCGCCGGTTCCTCGAGCACATGGAGAGCGTCGCCAATATCCGGGAATACGTCACATCGAATCGGAGGAATCGTGCTTTGACAACAGCCTATGATGCGTGTTTGGCTATGCTGCGGACCCTGCGAGACAAGCATATTCAACTCGTCTCCCGCTACATCATCATCAAGTCGCGCGAGACACGATCTCACTCTCGGTCCATGTCGCCCAAGCAAGCGACCACTCAGCGTGTCAATCTTGCCAACACCATGAACCGGAGTGGCAGCAAGAAGCTGCGCGGCACGGGTGGTACGGCTTTGATCCCCTTCCTCAAGCAGGCCAGAGACGAGACTGGCGAGCCGGCAATCGACGCCTGGGCCAAACGCCTGCTTAACAATGGGCCGGCCGAAATTGGCGCGTCGTTTGGGGTTGACGATGGTATTGCACGGCTAGGCAAGGTGGCTGAGGGTTTCGGCGGAGAGGTAGAGGTTGTCGGTCTCGCCGGTACGTGGAGTGTTGACGACAGCGAAGGAGGCATCTGCCACTGGTGAAGGATATATGTATGAATGATGGATGGACCAAAAGCATTTGTCTGGCGTTATTTCTTTCTTTCTTTTTTTTTACATACTGGGCTCGCAGACATACCCGATGGGTTTAGAGTTCTTTTTCATCTCCCCTTACTGCGAGTAGAGCCATAATGCATTATGATCCGTTGAAAGGTCTGCGTTCAGTGTGTGTGTGTGTGCCTGTTGTTTCATAAGTAGACGTGTTTTGTATGCTTTCGTCATGAGGGTAGGGTGTGGTTAGAAGCGGCCATGGCCATTCCAATGCACCGCTGCCTGAAAGACTATTCCCAGACGGTACTATACTTAGACACGAATAGTTGCTGTGTAACATCACCGCTCCTGTAAAACTGCAATCCGGTTGCCTAGACTAGGTCCAGATGCTCACGCGGCACACGGTATTGCATCATCTCGTCCCCACACGACGAACCATCTCTAACCCCCGATCTGCATCGCCGTTGTGCAAAGTCTCACACAAATGCCACATGGCTCTCGCAGCTCGGTTTTTTCCAAGCGCCACTGTCGTCAGATCGCCAGCTGCCTTGATGCAGGGCCATTGTGCAGCTGTGAAAGAAGGTAACGCGGGGTGGGGGTGTGACGTCATACCTTACATGTGTTGCGCCCACGGCCTCTGTGACAAACTGAGGATATAAGTCGCCTCTTGTCTCTGGATAGCAGAATTTCTAGAGTAAAAAATCTTCATCTTAAAGAACTTGAACCTTGAATTAGTGTCCAACCAAACCATAGCAATCATGTCGACCAGCGACACTTCAACCGGCCAGTCGTACCTCGAAAAGGCCACAGGCGCCATTCAAAGCACAATTGGCTCTCTGACTGGCAGCACCGCCGATAAGGTGCGTATCCCAGGTGGCTCAAAAACAATAAGCATGCCATACTAACCACTCTCCAGGCCCAAGGCGAAAACCGCAAGACAGCCGCCGACGCCAAAAACGACCTGTCACACACCACCGCCAAAGCTGGTCCCTTCTCCGTCAGCGCCGAAGGCGGCGTCGCGAAGGACGATCCCGACCGCACGAGCGGCGCATGGAACCAAAACATGGGCGCCGCCAAAGAAGCAGTCGGCGGGTTCCTAGGCGCAGAAGGCCTCAAGCAAGAAGGCATCCGCCAGAACAAAGAGGGAAAAGGCCAGGAGGCCGCCGGCCAAGTTAACGATCTCGGAAAGGGAATTGGAGACCGTGTTGGAGGCAATATCGGGGCTGCTGTTGCGGGACTCACGGGAAATGAAGCGCAGAAGGAGGAGGCGAGACGGCAGCATGACGATGGGAAGGCGAGGCAGAGGGGCGTCGAGGCGGATTTGCAAAAGGAGGTTGAGGCGGAGAAGGCGTGAGTGCGAGTGGGAGATGGATGTGCATGTGGATGATACCGTTTGATTTTATTCTACTATGGCTACATTCTAGAATGTGTTGTGTTAGCACGGTGCAAGATTTTTTTTGAAGGAAATTCAACCTTGATTGGATTTCTGGATTTTATGGGTTTGTGGATTTATTTAGATTAGATGCTTGATGCGTGGTGTGTGATAGAATGGAATACTACCAATGAGGAAAAACAAAACAAAAAAGACCTCTCTACCCTCTTCGGCTAGAGACTAAGGTATACATACACGGCGACAAATACCAAGCCAAGAAACGGGTTGCTTACGCAAGCTGTGGCGCCTCACACGTCGAGACTTGGCGTGAATGCGCGTACGCGTACACCATGCTATTCGCTAAACATTTTATCATTTGTGCGTCCCAGCAAGTCTATGTGCACTCGCATGCTGCGCCTGGATATTACGTAGGGCCTGGCTATATGATGTGGTTTTCCAACATTTGTCGAATATCTTTAGAGTAATTATTTTTGTAGAGTAATACAATGTATGCTGGCTTGAATAATGTGTTGAATAATTCAGCAAAACCACTTCTCCCCTCAAGAATAGATTGACGTGTCCAAAACGTGACTCCTCAGGACATTTTGTTTCCCTGCCTATATCTTACTCGTATTCGGTAGCCCATGAGAAAAAGACGCACGACCTGCGACGAGGATATTGATTACGCCCAGTCTTCCGGGCCTGGCCGAGCAGGAGTGGCTGTGTGCCAAGCCTTTGCGGCGGTGATGCATGACACAGGTACGCATTGTGATTACAGCATGTGTGTTGGCTGGCGAGTATGCCACAGAGAAATCTCGACAGTGACATCAGGCAGGGGGGCAAAGCATGCTGGCCAGCCTTGCCGCGCGCGAATGCGAGCCACGTCTAACGCAAAAAGGAAGGCACTGCCACTGTGTGGCGTCGTGGCAGGATGCTTAGCGCGGGGTAACTCGGCGCATCGGCAGCGGATGGTCACAGAACAACTGTGGCTGGTGCGGGATCAGCGCTCTTGGCAGCCAAATTTTGAACATCCCCCCCCTCCCCTCGCTCTCTCTCTCTTCCCATACGCCCGTGGCGGACGACATACGCCGGAGAGATTTCTGGGCAATCCAAGTCTAGATTGTGCCGCTTTGGGACGCAATGCATGCAGCGTTTATTTGTTGTGTAGTACCAAGATTCCGGGGCTTGCCGTCGTCGGTCAGCCTGTGTGTGTGTGTGTGCTTGCATCTGCATCGCGGCGTGCGTCACAGACCAGAGCAAGTCTAGGTGTGTTGAGAAAGCTGCTCGCTCGAGGCGGAAAAGCGCAGCTTGAAAAACTTTTTTTCCCTTCCTTCCCACCCTTCTGCGCGCACACGACAGGCTGGGGAGGCTTGGAAGCTTGGAATCTTGGTTTCGAGTCGGATGTGACGGGACTTATGACGCCAGCCACACTTTGTGCATGCGGTGTGGCGCTAAAAAACTGGCAGGCGGGCAGACTTGAATATAATGTAGAGCGCGTGGATGATACCCTGGGAGATGGCGTCAGCAAAAAAAAAAAGGAAAACAAATCACCCTGCATCAGGTGCAGTGCGCAAACACCGGAACTCACCGGAATGTAACCAAGGATGGTCAGCAGGATGTTGATTAGGAAGTCAGCACCACAGCCGCGCTCGAGGAAGACACCTAGAGGCGGGAGGATGATGGCAAGGAGGATCTTGCAAATGTCGCTGGAAGGCGTTAGCATCAACGGCTATAGAACGAGGCTTATAGGCCGCTGGGGTCGCACGTACCTCGCGGTGAAAGGCATGGTGGTGTGGGGGTCTCGGAATGAGCAAGTGGTGGTAGTAGTAGTAGTTCAGTGGATCTTTGAAGAGGTGTGTTGGATGGAGAGGTTGATGGTGTGATTGAATGCGGCACCAGGCAGCGGCAGCCAGTAGAGTATTTATGGCAGATGATCGGGGGGGGGGGGGCAGCTCATGACCACACCCAAGGATGACGTAGCAGCTCAGAGGCGGGCAGGGATGCGAGTGATGCCGCGCACCCACCCAACCTGCCCACACCCGCCGCCCGTTTAGCGGGGGCGCGCGACCATCAACAACTCCTCTCGACGCCGCGACTACGGCAAGACGATTTCGTCGACTCACGATACCCATCTTTGCTTTTTCCTTTGTTCACCAACACCAAAGTCTCCGACATGTCCCTCGATGGTCCATGCTACTAGCCTCTTTTGAGCATGGCTAATATCTGGGGCAATGTGCGCATCTGGTGGTCCGGCGACGGCTGCGCGCCTGGCTGGGCTTTGTGTAAATGATGACGACTCTCTTTGTATTATGAAGCCCCTGGTTTCCTGGAGGAGGGGTCTTTTTGGCTTGCTTGCTTTGGAAGCATCCTAGAGCATCTCGATGAGCGTACCATAATAACAACTTAATCGAGTATTCTACAACATGATTGTTACTTTTGTCAGTGTGAATTGACAGTATGAATGTTTCTCGCAACTCGCACCAAACTGAGTTTGTTTCCATGGTGACCGGTGGTTTTTGTTGATGCTGGAGGTAGCGCTGATCACCGCTGACTACCAAGGTTTGGACGCGACCCTCCCCTAGAACCGGGCACGCGGAATACCAGCGGCACACAATCCATGGTATTTCAGCTTTCTTACTACCCCACAGTCCGACATGGCTTGCTCAAAACTCGCAGTCGAAACCGCACGCGCACCATTGATTTCCTCCATGTAGGGTTAGTCTGGCGGGCGGAGCGCGATGCTTGGCACCCGCCCCCCGTTCCTTCCAGGGTTTACGTGTTGTGCACCACCACCCACCACCATGACACCTCACCCATTTCGAACCTATGTATTCCCTTCAGTCTCCAACGCCTCGCCCTGCACATTCTTACTCTTCAAAGCGCAAAGCGCGATATAAATGCCGCCCAATATGAGCTACCTTACCGCTACCCTCACCCACGCCGAAATCAGCCTCATCAGCGATCCAAACCGACCAGGGTGCGATGCGATCCGCGACCTAGACGCCCTCTCCCAATCGCTACGTAGGAATCCCGACCATTTTGAGGAGGCGCTGCGGGTCAAGAACACGCTCGATGCGTTTGGACAGAGAGCTGCCGTGGAGCCGAGTCTGGAGGTGCTCGCGGCCATTTTGAATTGCGAATACAAACTTTGGACAATGAACGAGGGCATTCCCATGCGGTTCAAGCCTTTCTTATCGCATTGGATCGAGGCACTCATTGGCATTGATGAGGAGCTTGCGGCGTGGCAGCGAGACACAGCCGCCAACAACCATATGAAGAACACAGTCACTACCGACGAGATTTTGCGCATCAGGGCCCGATGCATCAAGGGATTGCTGATGGATAAGCCGCTGTCGCCAAAGGAGCCGACTTGGCGCGCATACCAGCGCATGCTCGAGAACGAGGCCTCGCTGCCGGAATTCGACATGGTGCCGTATATGCACATGCTGGTGGAAACGCAGGTCTGGGACACGCTGCCAGAGCCGCAGGGGCAAGCGACTAGAAATCATGTGCACAAGCCAGAGTCGCCTTCGAGTGAAAAGAAAACACCGTGCAATGCTAAAACGTACTCGGTTAATAATTCCGAGTCCTGGGAAGAGAGCATGCTTCGCACGCTTAGAGAGGATCCGGAGGCGGCTGCTGAGGAGCTCTCGCGGCTCCCCTTGGAGATTTCGTCGCTGGATTTCCTCACCAGACTCCTTGTTGATGACACCTTTGAGGAGCTGGGCATTGACGGTCCCAACATCATACTCCGGTTCATACAACACGCATTACGGCTCGTCGAGGCAATGGAAGCGCCTCCGCCGACTTCAGAGCTGACTGTGAATGGCAATGGCCACGGCGCAGAAAACGGTATCCCAATTGTTGAATATGGAAAAGAGGCACAGACTCGCGCTATCAGCATACTGCTGCTGTTCATCAAGAGCTCAATGAGCAAGGGCAAATTGGACGCAGGTCTTCTCATCTTTGAGATCCAGGAGATATGCATAAGGTATCTGTGGATGAAGGAAGTTCGTGACTTCCGGGCTTGGGTTGAGCAGGGCCCTCTGGATGGTTGATGGCTGCGCAGGGTGAAATAGGATAATAACCAGGCAAAACAGTAACGCAACAATTTCCAAAGTAACGGAACGACAATTGAGGCGGTGGCGTCGAACTAAGTCCTTGTCGGTGTATCGCTGGCACTGTTAGCCGTGACGCTGGGAAGTCGAGAAGTTCTGCAACGCTTGGTGCGTGACGAAGCTAATGAGGCAACATGCGCGCGTCACAAACATCCATCACATCCCGCGTTCCTGTCGAGCATAAAGGATGTTCCTTGGTGCCCTCACTATCGTTGGGACGTGCATAGCGAAACATTTTAGAAGGCGAAAGCACGGCATGTTCCATTCACCGCTCGAAGCCTGTTGCAGATGTTCGCGCCATACTTCTCGAAGCTGCCATCGTGGCTCTTGGACACCGGTTGCAAAACCGGTGTGGAGTAGAGGCAAACGTCGAAACCTTTACACCGCCTTACTCGTCGTGGCGGTGAGGGTTTCGAGAATAGTCACACTTGGAGTTGAGGTCTAAGGAACAAAGCAAGCACGCTAAGCTACGGCCGACTCCAAACTTTAGAGTTTCAAAACCCACTACTGAAACAACCATCGCTCTCCGACCACTGGCTTCGGGTTGATCCGTTTGGCGCGGTAGGACCGTGAACGGTTCTTGGTTATTGCGGAATATTATCTTATTTGCTTCTGTTAAGGGGTGTACCATCAAGTTCGGAGAACGAGCATCGTAAGACTGGATTACCAGAAAATGGCCACGCCATGAGCTGCGGAACGAAACGATGTTCTAACACAGCCGTTTCGATTGTCAATGTTAGGCACGCAACTTGGCCGCTGATACGTGTCTGCCATCTTTCTCAGACGCTAAACATCAATGCACCTCGCGCTTCCGAGGCCAACCTCATTGCTCCGCCCGTCCTTGTGCCCGGACATAGGAGATCCTGAACCGAGATTCTGGAGACGATCGTCCCTCCCGCTGTGGGTACCTCCCTCCACTTGGCCACTGAGGTGTGACCATGATCATCGTCCGGCCGGCATCGTCTCAGCTCTGGTCCGGCGACTATGCTCCGGGTATCACGACCGCACCCGCGTCCCGTCATTGTGTTTGGGCATCGCGACAGGGAGGCGCTACTGTATGTCACTCCCTTGGTCAGATCGGAAACCTGCTTCACCGAATGCTTGTGGTGTAGCTAAGCTTCTGGCAGCCACCACATTAGCTGCACGCCAAGCTGGACGAGTGTATAAAAGACGTCGCATCCGCCCTCCCAGAGTCGACATCATCATCACTCAATAATTCAATCAACCAGACTCGCTTTCTTCGCTTTCCTCCTTTTATTCCATACTTCTAATTACTATTTTGCGCCGGCCGCTTCTTCCGTTCTCACGCATATCAATCACTCCATTCTTCATCTTCTCAACAACAACTCTTTGTCTATAATCCACTCTTCCCACACACCAACAACCTTCAAGATGCGTTACTCTCTCGCCTTCGTTGCTGCTCTTACCGCCACCGTCCAGGCCCACGGTGTCATCACCTCCATCCAGGGTGCCAACGGTGTCACCATGCCCGGTCTTTCGGTCGCTGATGGCACTCCTCGTGACTGCGCCTCGCCCGCTTGCGGCTCTGAGGTCGACACTTCCATCATCCGTGCCAAGGAGGCTGGCGGCAAGGCTTCGGCTCTTGGACGCACAAAGGCTGGCGCTGTCGACGCTGGAGCGGCCATTGCCAAGTTCATGGGCACTGGCGCTGCTGGTGCGGCTGGCGGTGCGGCTGGTGGTGCCGGTGCTGGTGCCGGTGCGACCGCAGCAACCAAGGCTGGAGCTGCAAAGGCTGGCGCGGCCAAGGCTGGTGCTGCTGCGACCAAGCGTGGTCTTCTCGACGGCATTCTCGGTGGCGCCGGCGGAGCTGCTGGCGGAGCCGGAGCTGGTACCAAGACGGCCAAGGGCACGACTGAGCAGGGTGTTGCTGCCTCTGCCGGTGCCGGTGCCTCTTCTGGTCTCCCTACCACTGCCGACGATGGCACCATCACCATGACCTTCCACCAAGTCAACCAGGACGGTGCCGGTCCTCTCTCTGCCCAGATCGACCCCACTTCCGGTGGAACTGACCCTGCTGCCTTCAAGAACGCCCAGGTCACCCAGAACGTTCCCGGTATCGGTATTGGAGGTCTCTCTGCTGCTTCCACCACCGACTTCCCCGTCAAGGTCCAGATGCCTGCTGGTATGACTTGCCAGGGCACAGCCGGTGGCGCCACCAACGTCTGCGTTGTCCGCATGCAGAACAAGGCGCTTGCCGGTCCCTTTGGTGGCTCCGCAGCTTTCACCCAGAGCACCGCCGCCAGGAAGAGGGCTATCGAGTACAACCTCCGCAAGCGCCACATGGCCCGTGGTATCCTCGGCAAGGCTGACCTCGAGTAAATGGAAGCAGTGTTCTCCATGTCGACAAGCAATACACATTCTCAAATACTCGGTCAAGAGCTGTATAGATGGTAAAATTTTGAGGATGGGTGTGTGTTAGTGATTTGCTGTGCAAATCACTCGACAATGAAGACAGGATAATAGTACACCAAGAGCGGGTGCTGGAGTAAGTCGGGCCATTGAAACCTTGTTTCGATTGCCCGCGCTTCCTTCACGTACATAACTGACCTACGATACCCTCCTTAGACGAGCAGTTTGATTTTTGGTTCTGTAATTAGATGGATGGAATTGTCAAGAAAGTGCTTTTTTCCTGGACGTTACCGATAGGAGAGGCACTAGGAGGAACCCTGTAAATAGCGATTGAATAACGAGTCTGGTTTTTGAATTTCCGTCTTTGACTTTGCTTTGATGTTATGTGATGTGATGTTGGTGTTTGCTTGTTTCTCTGGGGTTTGATAAGAATGCTTGAGTGAGAATGTCGATGATTTTTTTTCTCGAGTTGCAATTATATGTAGCTTGGAGTGAACTTGGTAGCTAAGTGTATCACCATGCAAGAGATGCAGCTTGAATCCTCACTTCATCTTTCATCAAACGCCATCTTAACCCTGCATGTAATTTAAATACCCACAGGTCCACCGCACAAAGTAATCCGTACAAAGCTGGTTCCCCACTCTAATTACTCTTCTTCAGGCCCCCTCCGTCAGGCTGACTCTGCCAACACGAAATTACGCGAAGCGCGTTTCACCCTCTGCTCAAAGAACCCGCCAATTCCAGGCGTCCCGGGCTCCTGAACCCACGCTGTATAGCCAACCAGCGTCGTGTTTAGTAAATGGCCTGCCCAGCCAGATGGTGGCTATGCTGTGCCGTACGAGACACTCGCGATAAAGACTCTTGTTGACGACGAAGCCGCCGCATTACTTACACTGACACTTACACTTGGCTGTTAGCTGTTATATATTTTGTCCCAAATGCAACATGCGATACCAACCTCAATACCGCATGGCGCCGCGCTCCTCGACCGAGCTGCATCGCACGCAAAGTACAGGTGAAAATGCAATGGATATGTCTGCGCGCTCGGCACCACCGTGGCTCTACACTGCATACAACCCGCGACTCCACGGTTCCCGAACAACCCCAGAAACAGCGATATCGCATCCAGCACACAGGGACTCGCCGCTGGAATCCGAATCCACGCCGCCTCGTTTCCACGCCTGTCTGTTTGGAAGCCGGGATGCTCGAGATGCTTTTTACCATGAGCCTGTTGCGTGGGCGAATTCGACGCTGTTCCGTGGTGATACTGGTACTGGTACTGGTACTACGACGAAGACGATGACGACGATGCAAGATGTTGTACAGCTACAGCTACAGCCACAGCTACAGCCACAGCCGCTGTTATTGTTGCCATCGACGTGCGAGACTCGGAGTGCTGAGTCAGTATTCCTACAACAAGAACATGCACAACAAGGCAGTACAAATCCACAACCACAACCACAACCACAACCACTTCCACAGTACAAAAAACAGTATTTCCGCACCGCACGCCACATCCGTTTACCGTGGAACCCCGGGTTCTGTCCCAATTTCCCGGCAAAAGGCGTCGTGGCGCTGATTGCAGTGTTCACGCTTACAGCGGCGTGTGCGGGGATACTGGTTGCGGCGCATGGGACGCGGGCGGAGGAGTGGAGGGTGGGCGGGGTGCATGGAGAAGAAGTACAGCCCGCTGTTTATCTCTCTGTGCTGGAAATGTGTATGGATATGCTTGTTTTTTGCGCGCTGGGACAAGGGGTTGTGGTGAGGTTTTGGAGGGGGGTGTTGAGGGGGTGTACGGTAAGTATGTTCTTTCTCTTTTTTTTCATTGATACTTTATTCTTGTGCGGGGGGAAGGAGGAGGAGAAGGAGGAGGAGAAGGAGAAGAAGAAGAAGAAGAAGAAGAAGAAGAAGAAGAAGAAGAAGAAGAAGAAGAAGAAGAAGAAACAAGTTTAAGATGCAGCAACTGAATTTGCATGTCTAGATTGCGGATATACACGATGTGTACGAGTCGGCTTTTGTCGGGGCTGCGCTGCGGGCGATGCTGAGGTTTCGTGGGAACGGGGTTACTACAGGTTAGTACTTATACATATCCCTTTATCCCGAGAAAAGAACAAATAAAAAGAGAGAAAGAGAGAGAGAGAGAGATGTAACCAAGTAGCTGACTATACCAGCAACACTCGTAGCCGTCCTCTCCACAATCCGAGGCCCACTCTTCCAGCGCTCACTCACGCTTCGCCACGGAATCTACCACACCAACGCCATCTTCGCTGCTCTCGGCGCCACGCTTTCCCTCGTGAGTATCATCGCGATACTACCGCTCTACCACGGCTACTGGGACCTCGGGCGGCGGGCCAGCTTGAATCCGCTAGAGACGGCCCGCGCGTTTGGCGCCCCGCTTCTCGATGGCGTCGAGGGCAATGCCGGCGCCAACGACGTGCAGATGGAACGCGGGCATGTGGCAGTCAAGTATGGGGCTGTGGAGAGGCTGGGTCGCGAAAAGGTGCTGAGGATTGAGAATGCGAAAGCGTCTAGTGTGCGGATGCCGTGCGAGGGCGAGATCTTTGGGTGAAGAAGAGAGACTAAGTATGTGTGTTTTTTTTCTTTTGTGATTTGGAGAGCAGCAGTAACTACAGTAAGTAAGTAAGTAAAAACGGATTTTTAGAAAGCGTGTAAGTACGGGCATGCAAGAAATCCAGCACGCGGCAAGGAAACACCTACCTACTAGAGACCCGGATGCTACGTTACTTACTTGGCCCTCACTCACCATACCTACCTACTTCCCACCTCCAAATCCACGTGATGGCCCCCCAACTAACTACTTAGTTACCTCGCTAGTCTAAGTACTTGGTGACATTTGTCAGTAGTTTTGTTAAGTAGCAGCGCACTAGTATCGATCCGTGTGTCCATCATCATCACCACAAGATGACTCCTTTACCCTCTACCTTCTTTTTTCTTTCTTTGGCATCCAATCTGCTCTGCCGGTATCCGCGAATACCAAGCACACACACACACACACACACATACATATACACACAGTTGAGTATGTAGAAAGTAAGGAAATAAATAACAGAGCTGAGAAACAGGATTTCCCAAAGCAATAAAAAGTTGGTTGAGTCCAAGGTCTCCGCTCTTTCTCTCTGTCAAGCTAGTATGCGTGACATGGAGTTAGTGGGTTACTGTGGGTGGAGACTAACTGGCGTGGGGGGAGGGGGGTTGTGTGGTGTGTTGTGCTCGTTTGTTGCTTGTGCTTGTTTCCTTGTTTCTATACTACTAGTCATAGGCCTTCTCGTCACACTGGCCGCGCTTGTGCTTGCAAATTAATCAGTCCTTTTCCTGGGGTCCCCGCTTTGCCGTGGACTTACAGATAGATAGACAGACAAACAGGGTGAGTTGGCAGGCTTGCAGGGTTGGAAAATACTCGACACCGTTGGGCTAGTTTATGTGAGAATGTTTCGCATTCTTGAAACATGTACATGACGCTGTGTCTGTGTTTCCTCTTTTTTTTTAAACTGGGTGTCTTCTCGTGAAACAGACTACAGAGATGCTTGCAGTACTACGTACGTAGGTAGGCAACTGTCATGTTCGTGTTGTGTGTTGAACTGAATATTTCACTTACTCTGGCCTTTTGCCAGCCCGTCATGCATCGCCTGGAATATCTGGAATACCGGATTACCCACATACTACATACCACTACAATTCAACACCAGCACCAAGTCCAGCAATTGAAACATCCAACGAAAAAAAAAATGCCTCCCCCCCCTCCCCCTCATCCCCCCCTGTCCATCCACCATGTGTGAGTGCAAGTGTGTGTGGGTGGGTGGAGAGGGAAATCACATGTTTCTCCCCGGGCACATTCTGTCCTTCAAACCCGATTGATCAGCATCTGGGGTATTTAACAAAAAAAATACCGCACCAACCACGGGCATGTCCAGGGGAGTGGTAGAGTTGAAATAAGGCCGTCAGGGTGGACTGATGGATGGATGGGTGTGTGGGCTGTGGGTGTGCATGGTAGCCCGTTTCTCGGTGCAAGGGGTGAGGGATATTGAAGAGGGCAGCCATGTCGCACGTCTGGCCAAAAAGAGCAAAAGATTTACTTTGGAGATGATATCTACGAATGCCATATCATATCACATCATACGTATACACATGTTCAACATGTAACATCGGCAGGTGAGGGGGCGACCGCCAACTATGTCATTGCTCGATGCCCAAAGGACAAAAAAAAACCTTGTTGTTACGAACGACGTATTGTAGAATCGCATCGATACCGTGAGATATTTTTTTTGTGAGCCAGAGTTTCGCTTGACAAGGGAGGTGGTGGTGGGTTATTTGGACGGGCCGATTAGCAAAGGCCCGAGGCGGGTAGGCGGCGTGTTGAAATTTGTGTTTTTATGTGGAGAGAGAGAGAGAGAGCGAAACGTGGGAGGGCGTCGACTCGCAGGTTGACGTCAGGTGCTATGTATCCCAGCGCGATCGAAGATGAAGGGAAGGGACCCGGTCTGATGGACAGCGATCTTGGTGTTGAGACTGTTTTTTTTTCTCTCCCAAGCAATATGGCCGTTGGTGCTGAGGTGGCTGGTTCCACTTTGATGATGGCTTGTCCCTGGTAGATTATCCCATAATCACCATGTTGGCCGAGCTCATGTCCTGCTTGCGTACTCATTTCGAATAGTGGTTTTTCTAGGGGGTTGCTTGGCCATTGCAAACAGAGTGAAAGCATCTACCGAGTGCTTACGCCAGTCAATCGCGGGGTACATTTGCGACGTGTGTCCCCTGCCCTGTTGCTCTTTTTGTGCAATATCGGGAAAGCGATCGCTAGCTATTCCCATACAAAACAAAGCTCCGAGAATGAGGCTGATTCATATTGCATGTACGTACATGTGTATGGGTGAAGCACGAGCCGCGGTTCGCGCCTAGTTGTGTTGATGGCGGGAGATGGATAATAATGGTGCATCTTGGCTATGAGAGGTGATGGGCGTCGGGCGGGCGTTGGATCCGGGCCAACCATACAGTGGCGACGAGCCGCCATGCAACTAATCGACGACTTGTAGCAGACAGCGTCGGCGCCATGCTGCATACGCAAGCTGTTGCAGGAACACCTCTATGTCTTGCAGATGTTGTGATGCAGCGTCCACTTGGGCAATGCTTAGTGGTGTATGCAGGTTGCATGGGCAGAGCATGTCGGTGAAGGCAGGCTGATCCCTCCAGGTCGCATCATGATGTGCGCATCAATCGCGGGGTGCCAGGTGGTTGCGAGTGTGGGGATGCGAAAGCAACTCTGCCATGGGCATGGGTGTCGGCGGCCGTTGGGAGTGGAGACGGTATTCGCACCTTGGGCGACCACGCGGCATGGTGATGATCGGGTATGATCACGGGGTGGTTTTGGAGGGAGCTGCGTATGGCGACAAGCGTGGTGAGGGCGCATCGCAGGGATGGCGTCCGGTAGAGAGGTTATGCGTGGTAGTGGGTGTTGAAGTCGCTGTTTTCCATGCCTTGGTCACCCAAAACAGCAGCAGTTTTCGGAACGGCTAGCCCAGACAGGGCTAGCGGCACACAGACCACAGTGCCACTCCCACACACCCTAGCGATCGATGGCCAACTCCCTCTGACGTAGTTGGGGCTCGTCATGCTGACTTTGCCATCTCAGAACACGGTCTTGTTACTGTAGGCAGTAGGTGTTGCTGTGCATGTGGAGATGGCATGACTTTTGAAACAAGGTACGGGTGGTTAGGCGAGAGGGTCAAGGCTCGGGCCTGTGACTGGATTTCTTCCTTCAATGGCTGCACGCAAATGCGGTGACCAAGGCAAGCCAAGATTGCGATTCCAGTGGCTCAAGTGCAAGTGGCTAGGGCTAGCGCGGGCTAAACGTCGTACCGGCTGGGTCATGGAAGAGCCGAGGAATTCACAAATGCAAAGGAAGAATCGACGCCGCCAGTCGCCGGTCTACTCAGCGCACCATGCTCCTTGACGCATGCAAGCGGAGCTAGCTGAGCCCCGTCTTGCCTGATAGCATATGGTGATGTGCGGTGGACACGGCAGACGGCATTTGCTGTTGTCCAAAGCATCAAACGGCTGGCGAATGAGGGCAGGCTCAGGCCGGGAGAGCCGCGATAACATCTTGGTGGCCCTGATCTTCCGCCCAGCCGTTTGGCCAGAGGGAGTGGGAGACCGAGGGCTCGGCGTGTCTTGCGGACGGCCGGACAGCAACCAACGCATCCCTTCACACTCCGCTCTGGCGGACCCCCGCTTTTGGCCTAGCCTCGTCCTGTTCCGCCGCCCGCCCACACCACCACTACTATCACTGCCATGGAAACAGACGGTGCCTCTACCACGACCGCAAAATCACCGCCCCGTTGCCCATTGCTCTTCAACGTCTTTTGACCCCGACATACCCGGCCTATCAACCGCCTCTCAGTCCCAAAGTCTATCCTACCCTGCATTTGCACTCTAGCGCACAAGCCATTCACGCACCCCCCCCACAGCCATGGCATTCTTCGGCACCCTCGTTCCGTCACGGAAAAGAGGGAGGCGTGGTGGGAGAGCCAGCCAGCACACCAGCGCGCTACTGTACCAGCGGTAGTAGTCATGGTAGCAGCATCAGCGCCTCGACCAATAAGGGCTACCTGGACTATCTAGGTACACACACACCACACCACACCGCACCACACCACCTCCTACCCTCCACAAGGAGATGCAGGGACGGGGGCAATGTTATGGCTCAAATTTCGCCAGAGAACTGACTGGATGAGGCGCCTCCCCCTTTATTTTACTTCTTTCTCTTATCTTGGGTATATTCTTCGCTTCTCTCGGAATTGGCCCCATCATGTGCACACACACACACACACACGGAATGCTTACATAGCATGCATATGTACGACCCTTTGCTAGCAGCAATACTAGTCGCAAACATAGAACAGCTAAGAAGAGAGGGGAAAAAAACGAACGCATACCCCGTATCCAGTCAGACACCAGTAGCACACGTGCGCACGCGCGAGGAGGGTGCTTACTTTGATGCTCGGTGCTGAAAAACGGGCGGCATGGGGCCGTAAATACAACGTCCCATGTGTTTTTAGGTCGATAATAGTAATCCCCTAGTCATTATCGTACGACGGCGGGTTGCTTTGCTGCTCACAACTTCTTGTGTGAAATTACTACTTCTTAGCCCCAAGTAGCGCACGCGCTGCTGGCAAAGAAAGAAGAGAGAGAGAGAGAGAGAATAAAAAGAGACAGAATGCACAACGACGTCGTTGTTTATGCACATACGTAGTCTTTTGGCAACCAACCAACCCCTCACCCCCTCCCCACTGGCCTCACCGGTCCATGTAACAGCGCACATGGGGGGTCGTCCGTCTTGTTTTTGCCGTGGATTGAGGCAATAGCGGGATTTAATTTGTTCATTGACTGTTTTTTCCTTTTTCCCTTGTTTGTTCATCCTTTCTTTTTGGCAGCGCCGGAAGATCGCTTCAGCATGGGCATGGGCATGGGACATGGGGGCATGGGCGTATTTGGGAGATGTGTGTGTGTGGATCCACACACACACACACAGTCTCTCATCTCACACTAGCATGAAGATCGCTCTCACACTCGCAAAGCCAGCGATAACAAAAGGCCGTGTACTATGGCATCAGACGACAAAAAAAACCCCGACAAGTCAGAATGGCGCCGTCGGCGGCCCTTTTGGTGAAAATCCTGGTGCATGTTTTTATCCTTTTCGGAGGCCATATCTTCGCACGAAACAAACAGTAGAGGTGATTCAAGAAGAATGATAATACACCTACGTAGAAAGATATACATGGCTGCTAAAACACGCGCGAAATGCATCTCCATTAGCCCCCCTCCCCCCTTTCCACGTGCATGCACGCATGCATGCATATGTACACCTACACACCTACCTACATGCACACTTAAAAAAAAGGCCAAGTATGGGTGTGGATAGGCAAAAAGCGAGTTTGCGATGAGTGTGGGGCAGCGCGAAGCCGCGAGCGCCGCATGGCCGACTAAGTCTACTCTAAGCGTGGTTTTATGAATGTAGCTTAGCTTAGCGTTGATCCAGTCGTGTGCAAGTCCCAAGTCAGTGCGCGCGCGCGCGAGAGAGAGAGAGAGAGGGGGGGGGTGAGCAGAAAGGACAACGAGACGAGGCGCGGGATTAGTAGTGGTAGAGAAGGGCAGATCAAGCGGTAGCTAGGGAAACTAGTCTGCTAGTCTGGTCTAGTCTAGTCAGTTGGGTCTGCCTTTCCCTCTCCCTCTGTGTGTGTGTGTGTGGGCGCGAGGGTGTGATGATGATGGATGTGGATGTGGATGTATTATGCACGTGTCTCTATCCCCCCCCCCCAATTTCCGTCTTCTCTGCCAAGGGGGGAAGGAGAGGGCACCTGCACTGGGGACACTTTGTTTCAAGCAGGGCCAAAGTCGACCCGAGTCGATACAGGTTTGGAACGCGATAATACCAACCAAGGTGTGCAAAAGTGGAGACTTCTCACTCCTTGGTTCCAGTTCTTGTTGCTATGGAGGGAGGGGAGAGAGAGAGAGAGAGAGAGAGCCCTTGCTGATGGGCGGGCGTGGATAGTACAAGGTGGGGAGGGGGGGGGGAAAGGGGACCCGTCAACGGGTAGCGCGGCATCTCACGTGGTGTTGGTGCAAGGCGCAGGGAGACGAAAGCGTACGTCCATGTGCAATCCAAGCCAGTTGACATTGGCTGTGAAGGAGCAAGTGGCAAACACATGTTGGTTTAGCAACTGGGATGATGCGTGTACATTTCAAGCAGGTTTCATCACGCTTTGGATAGATGGATGGGTGGATGCATCATGGATGGATGGATGGATGGATGGATGGAGCTTGCACGTTTTGATTTGCTAGCTACAAAATTGGAACGTGTATGGGGGAAAAAGAGACCCGTCATCTGTCCAGCTCAACACCTGATGCAGTGGAGCGCTTACGAAATGAAGCTACGGACAGGCGAGATGCCGTACATACTTTGGTTAAGAAATAAAAAAGAAAACACACACTTGGGTATTTGACAAAACAAAAGCGACCGATGCCACACTCCAGCACTTGGAGGGGATGAACAAGGAAATTTTTTTTTCGTGCGTCCATGATTTGCAAGAATGGGGGGGGGCCATTTGACCATGCCTTTCTATGGTGGTGTATCTGGCCTGGTTCCTTGATTTTGTGTAGGTTTTGTTGGGAGAGTGGTGGTGGTGAGGATGAACGCCGTCGATGCTC